TGATTCATACCAAAGCCTTAATGCTGGGTATTACGTATGTATCTAGCTAAAGAGGGTTTCCACATGATACGATACCCACCGAAGCCTTAATATCCACACGATACGATACGCACCGAAGCCTTAATGTCCACAGGATACGATACACACCGAAACCTTAATGTCCACACGATACGATTCACACCGAAGCCTTAATACTGGGTATTACGTATGTATCTGATACGATACACACCGAATCCTTAATGCTGGGTATTGCGTATGTATCTAGCTAAGGAGGTTTTCCACATGATACGATACCCACCGAAGCCTTAATGTCCACCCGATCCGATACACCCCGAAGCCTTAATGCTGGGTATTATGTATGTATCCAGCATGTAGAGGTTTTTCACATGATGAGGACTGATAAGACTTTTTCAAATCAATAAAGAACAAGGAAGTGTTGTGGCGTTTAGATAACTATTCCCTGCAGCAGTCATATACAACTAAAACATGTAGATGTTATCATAGCTTGGTTGTAGGTTTTAGGCAATATTAGGTGGACATCAATATTTGTATAATGGTAGAATATGTTCTCCGACTGATTACGATGCAAGATATATAACAATATATGAACAAATATCCAATATCTTGATGAACACATCTACAATTTGCATGGCATTTTTTTTTTTACAATATTTAAGCAATCGTTGGCAAGTGTCAAATGAATATCCAGCTCTTTGGATAGAGGACATTCCAGTGGGTGGCCATGTGGTTTCCTAACAGTACAGCCCTCTGTCTGTCCTCACAGAATGGACAGTTTCTATTATTTTTTTATATCAAGTATTCAGTTGATGTCATTGATGCACTTCGATCAAGGAGATCACAAAAACATATATTGCTTCTGTAATATTTGCATTTATTATAGCATTCTTTATAAATATGAAAAATATAATGATATTCAATGTTAATATGAATATAATAAATACACTCTTGTATACCCATTCTGACAAACAGACCTTTCATAGCACACAGACATACCAACATCTATAATCACGTCCACTATACAAAATAATTTAAGTGTATATTAACATTTTGATTAATTAAACACAAGTCAGTCAGCTACTTACATTGTTTTTTTGGATAGAATATACTCAGTTTGTCATGCCGTCATTATTAAGGCTGAAGGCTGACTGAATACATTTATGGAGTGATGATAGCAAAGAGATATGTAAAGAGTAAGTAATAACAATTTCAATATTGTGAATTGTATCAGTTTGGCGAGATAACTATTTAAAGTAAATCAATGTCTTTCATTGAAGAACAATTGTGAGAATAAATGTGTATTATAAATTAAGTAATTTATAGTAGTAATTTATTCCATGCAACGTTCAACATCTTAACGTCTGACTCATAGAAAGTAATTTATCCCATATAGTGTTCAACATCTCTGGCTCTGAGACAAAAGGTAGTAATTTATCCCATACAGTGTTCAACATCTCTGGCCTTGAGACACAGGTAGTAATTTTTCCCATACTGTGTTCAACATCTCTGGCTTTGAGACACAGGTAGTAATTTATCCCATATAGTGTTCAACATCTCTGGCTCTGAGACAAAAGGTAGTAATTTTTCCCATACTGTGTTCAACATTTCTGGCTCTGAGACAAAAGGTAGTAATTTATCCCATATAGTGTTCAACATTTCTGGCTCTGAGACAAAAGGTAGTAATTTTTCCCATACTGTGTTCAACATACCTGGCTCTGAGACACAGGTAATAATTTTTCCCACACTGTATTCAATGTCTCATGACTAGTTTGATAACTCATTGTCGATGCGTTTCTGTCCGACAATCAGAAAGCCAGTGGCTGTTCTGTGATGCATTTCTGTCCGACAATCAGAAAGCCAGTGGCTGTTCTGTCAGCTATCTATTTTGTTCACAAACATTTTCTGTCAGTGAAGTCAAGCTCAATTGGGACGGTGTCACATAAAAGATTAATGCAACCATTCATGGCGTGAGCACTACACTAAACATAACCTTGACTCTTTGGGCAGATTTTAAACAACATACAAGTTTACTGAAGGTTGAAGTATTGGCTACTGTTACAGACTGTATATTTGGAAGAAGAGTTGTCTGCAGTGGAAGGCACAGTGGACGTTGCATCTTCAGATCCTAGTTATGGGCGTATTCTGGTACCAGCCTTCCTCCACATATCTTAGTTCTGTTGAGCATCGTATCGGTACTAGAGGCACAAATGTCTCCCGGTGTTAGTTACAACACGACCGTGGTCATCGGTCAGACAAAGCATCCTCGTGGTCATCGGTCAGACAAAGCGTCCTCGTGGTCATCGGTCAGACAAAGCATCCTCCAGATCTCCTTTGAATTTTGACTCGTGTAACACTGAATTGTCTACAGTTCTGCGACTAGTGGAAAGATCTGCAATCACCATAGAGTCACCAAGCCTGAAAAAGTAAGATCTGCAATCACCATAGAATCACCAAGCCTGAAAAATTTACCAGTCTCATAAGAAAACTTATAACTGGAATTTCCAAAAAATAAAAAACAACATTTAAACCAAAATCTTACAACAATCATGTACACTTAGTTTTCCATACAGTGGAAAATTTGTACTTACTCAATCACAATAAATCTGCTTAATATACATGCAAACTGTCTTAAATTGAATTATAAATTGGTATAAAAGTGTGAATTTATTGATATATATCAAGGAACCTGGAAGACATCATTAGATTTAGTATAATGTGTATTCCATCATGTTTGTAGGAGAACAATATGTGTAACCAACTTGATTTAACTAGTAACGCTGGTTGTGATACTTGATCTAACTAGTAAAGCGTGTTATGATACTTGATCTAACTAGTAACGCCTGTTGTGATACTTGATCTAACTAGTAATGCTGGTTGTAATACTTGATCTAACTAGTTACGCTGGTTGTGATACTTGATCTAACTAGTAACGTTGGTTGTGATACTTGATCTAACTAGTAACACTGGTTATGATACTTGATCTAACTAGTAACACTGGTTGTGATACTTGATCTAACTAGTAACGCTGGTTGTGATACTTGATCTAACTAGTAACGCTGGTTGTGATACCTGATCTAACTAGTAACACCTGTTGTGATACTTGATCTAACTAGTAACGCCTGTTGTGATACTTGATATAACTAGTAACGCTGGTTGTGATACTTGATCTAACTAGTAACGCTAGTTGTGATACTTGATTTAACTAGTAACGCTGGTTGTGATACTTGATCTTACTAGTAACGCTGGTTGTGATACTTGATCTAACTAGTAACGCTGGTTGTGATACTTGAACTAACTAGTAACGCTGGTTGTGATACTTGATTCAAAAGTACTGTGACGGACAGACATAAGTTAGGTGCTGGTGAAGTACAACACAGAGTGGACAGTCCAAAGTCTACAGAAACTTAAAGGTTTGTCACAAAATGCAGTGGACAATCTAAAACCTACAGAAACGTAAAGGTTTGTCACAAAACGGAGTGGACAATTCAAAGTCTACAGAAACGTAAAGGTTTGTCACAAAACGGAGTGGACAATCGAAAACCTACAGAAACTTAAAGGTTTGTCACAAAACGGAGTGGACAATCCAAAACCTACGGAAACTTAAAGGTTTGTCACAAAACGCAGTGGACAATCTAAACCCTACAGAAACTTAAAGGTTTGTCACAAAACGCAGTGGACAATCTAAAACCTACAAAATCTTAAAGGTTTGTCACAAAACGGAGTGGACAATCCAAAACCTACAGAAACTTAAAGGTTGATAATTTCTGTGTAGTGTAGAGGCAAAACGAAGTCAACCCAACGTGGCAGGCACCAACACAAATTACAATACAAATACCAGAAGTCTCTTTACCTCAACCATAATGGGCTTTTTTGATGACACTTGATCAAAAATATCAAAATTATACACTTGAAAATCATAAAGGATGCACATTCAGCTGTGTTTGACTGGTGAATATTTAATGTGTTATGACAATTATATATACTAACAACCAGATAATTGATTATATGTAAAACAGATGATGCTAAATACCTGATCATTAATTAGTATATGGCAGTCCTGTGTACAAATTATCACTTTCTCTTGTATCTAACATATGCATACATATACAGTGCTCTCAAACAAAGGCTGATTAGACAAAGATGGTCTCGTTAATTTTCAATCAGGGGAAAACATAAAGAAGCTTTCTACCATATACTTGATGTCTGATTCACTTGACAGAGGTGCTGATGGAAAAGAAGAAAATTGTTTATTTAGAGTTATCAAAATGACATTCCATTTATCGTGAGGTGTGAGATAAAAGCTCCCAGTGACACTCATTCACTCTGCATCGTCCCAATAAGTAAATTTCTAATGAAAATCGCAGAACACAAAATGTTTCAATCCTTTATTCTATACTTTATTAGATGTTCATGTTTTTATTGATAAAATGACTGGTTAATATTCATTACATGAAGGTATATTTTTTAATTTCCAAATAAAACACAACTAATAAACTTAACCTGTACACAGCTCTACTTTCAGGCAGTATTGTTTTTTAACTTTTACGTGTAAAATTGCATGCAGAGTTGAATTGCAGTTTCAATATTATTAAATCTCTGTTTCTAGAAATAATTACAGGTGTTTATTCGCGTATTTCAACTCAGCTTCAAAAATTGACGAAAGACATTACCTTTTCTGTATTGAGTATCAGTAAAGTTTGATATTTGTGTATTGAGTATCAGTAAAGTTTGATATTTGTGTATTGAGTATCAGTAAAGTTTGATATTTGTGTATTGAGTATCAGTAAAGTTTGATATTTGTGTATTGAGTATCAGTAAAGTTTGATATTTGTGTATTGAGTATCAGTAAAGTTTGATATTTGTGTATTGAGTATCAGTAAAGTTTGATATTTGTGTATTGAGTATCAGTAAAGTTTGATATTTGTGTATTCAAGAAGATATGACGGAAGCCTAACAATTGTTTTAGCTTACCAGGTACATTATTATGATAATTTAGTGACTTTTTTCCCCTATTACATGAGGTCAAAGAAAAGAGACCTCGAAGCAGTCTACAAAATAAATACATCAAGAAACTTTATTAACTTGGACCCACTTGAGCTGAAATCTTAAAATCTTAATCTTTAACATTCTGTGAGTTTACAATATTAAACAGTAAAGCTGTTCATATCATGAACAAAATAACTACATTACCTCTCCATTTGAAAAAACTGAAACAGTTTTGTTTTAATAAGTTCAATCCAGAATAAAGCACATCCATACATTGAACTATATAGGTAATGAAATAATATCACTAATGATTATACCATCATTCTATATCATATTTCTTGTCAACACCATACAGAATATGTTTAATGTTATCTGGTATTCAAATGATCTGTTGAAAATATTTCTTCACTATTTTTTATTAAGTTTATGAAACTGAATTCTATGCTACTAAAAATCTAAACATAACAGAATCTTTTATAAACCATGATATTAAAGTGACTAATCATGATTGCCACTCAACAATAGTATTTTATCAAACTCAACACATTTTCAAAACCTTCAAATATATGGCCTTTGTAAACAAAGGATGTATTGAGATATGACTCAGTGTGGTTGAGCTGGAGTCCTCGGATAGGGTATGTTTTATTGGAATGACCTTCACTTATATTTTCTATAATTTTGGACACAAATCCTAGCAAATCTGGCCCCTAGGCAGTCTAAGCACTATATCCCTTTAGGAGTTCAGCATAAAGTAGGAGGATTGAGCTCACCAACTTTGTCATTTCTGGATGGCAAGCAGACATCTCCTCTCAACAACCAGGAGTATTTATCCATTACCATGCTGTATTCTTAACTACAAAGCTGTATCACATACCTAGCTGACCTGTTTGGTGACCCTGCTGTATTTTTAACTACAAACCTGTAACCCATACCTAGCCGACCTGTTTGGTGACCCTGCTGTTCTTTTAACTACAAACCTGTAACACATACTTAGCCGACCTGTTTGGTGACCCTGCTGTATTTTTATCTACAAACCTGTTACACATACCTAGCCGACCTGTTTGGTGACCCTGCTGTTCTTTTAACTACAAACCTGTAACACATACTTAGCCGACCTGTTTGGTGCCCCTGCTGTATTTTTAACTACAAACCTGTAACCCATACCTAGCCGACCTGTTTGGTGACCCTGCTGTTCTTTTAACTACAAACCTGTAACACATACTTAGCCGACCTGCTTGGTGACCCTGCTGTATTTTTATCTACAAACCTGTTACACATACCTAGCCGACCTGTTTGGTGACACTGCTGTACTTTTAACTACAAACCTGTAACACATCCCTAGCCGACCTGTTTGGGTCTGACCCTGCTGTACTTTTAACTACAAACCTGTAACACATCCCTAGCCGACCTGTTTGGTGACCCTGCTGTCTTTTTATCTACAAAGCTGTAACACATACCTAGCCGACCTGTTAGGTGACCCTGCTGTATTTTTATCTACAAAGCTGTTACACATACCTAGCCGACCTGGTTGGTGACCCTGCTGTATTTTTAACTACAAACCTGTAACCCATACCTAGCCGACCTGTTTGGTGACCCTGCTGTATTTTTATCTACAAACCTGTTACACATACCTAGCCGACCTGTTTGGTGACACTGCTGTACTTTTAACTACAAACCTGTAACACATACCTAGACGACCTGTTTGGTGACCCTGCTGTATTTTTTAACTACAAACCTGTAACACATACCTAGCCGACCTGGTTGGTGACCCTGCTGTATTTTTAACTACAAACCTGTTACACATACCTAGCCGACCTGTTTGGTGACCCTGCTGTTCTTTTAACTACAAACCTGTAACACATACTTAGCCGACCTGTTTGGTGACCCTGCTGTATTTTTATCTACAAAGCTGTTACACATACCTAGCCGACCTGTTTGGTGACCCTGCTGTACTTCGCTGTAACTCGTTCATCAGACTTCTCCTCTCACTCTGTATCTGCCTCTGTCTCACTGTTTGTCTGGACAGCTGGGAAGAATAGACACATCTATATGTCACACAATACAATCACAAATAAGATGTCAGTTGTCTTTGCTCTACTTATATTGACTGTAATATCATTTACATTCCTGTTGATTCAGAGACTTTTTTTGTTACCTGTTTGTAGACTCTGACTTTGTTCTGTACATTGTTACCCGTTTGTAGACTTTGTTCTGTAGATTGTTACCTGTTTGTAGACGCAGACTTTGCTTTGTACATTGTTACCTGTTTGTATACTCAGACTTTGTTCTGTACATTGATACCTGTTTGTAGACTCTGATTTTGTTCTGTACATTGTAATCTGTTTGTAGACTCGGACTTTGTTCTGTAGATTTTTACCTGTTTGTAGACTCAGACTTTGTTCTGTACATTGTTACCTGTTTGTAGACTCAGACTTTGCTTTGTACATTGTAACCTGTTTGTAGACTTTGTTCTGTACATTGTTACCTGTTTGTAGACTCTGACTTTGTTCTGTACATTGTAACCTGTTTGTAGACTCAGACTTTGTTCTATACATTGTTACCTGTTTGTAGACTCGGATTTTGTTCTGTACATTGTAATCTGTTTGTAGACTCGGACTTTGTTCTGTACAATGTTACCTGTTTGTAGACTCTGACTTTGTTCTGTACATTGTTACCTGTTTGTAGACTCTGACTTTGTTCTGTACATTGTTACCTGTTTGTAGACTTTGTTCTGTACAATGTTACCTGTTTGTAGACTCTGACTTTGTTCTGTACATTGTTACCTGTTTGTAGACTCTGACTTTGTTCTGTACATTGTTACCTGTTTGTAGACTTTGTTCTGTACAATGTTACCTGTTTGTAGACTCTGACTTTGTTCTGTACATTGTTACCTGTTTGTAGACTCTGACTTTGTTCTGTACATTGTTACCTGTTTGTAGACTTTGTTCTGTACAATGTTACCTGTTTGTAGACTCTGACTTTGTTCTGTACATTGTTACCTGTTTGTAGACTCAGACTTTGTTCTGTACATTGTTACCTGTTTGTAGACTCAGACTTTGCTCTGTACATTGTAACCTGTTTGTAGACTCTGACTTTGTTCTGTACCTTGTTACCTGTTTGTAGACTTTGTTCTGTACATTGTTACCTGTTTGTAGACTCAGACTTTGTTCAATACATTGTTACCTGTTTGTAGACTCTGACTTTGTTCAATACATTGTTACCTGTTTGCAGACTCAGACTTTGTTCTGTACATTGTTACCTGTTTGCAGACTCAGACTTTGTTCTGTGATATTACCTGTTTGGTTGCCTCTGATGCTCGAGTTTCAGACTCTCGAACTCTGTCCTCCATGCGATAGATGTTTCGTGCATAATCTGTTATCATCTTCTCAGCCTGTTTAGCAATGGTAAAAATAAAGCTACAATATCATTCTAAAATAATAATTAGAATTCTAAACAAAAGGTCACATATAGAAAGACAAGTCCCTGGTTACAATCTTTTTTTAATTTGCAAAAGTAAACTTGAACACTGACAGGTCAGCAGGGGCACTGTCATGTGCCTGACTATGTGTATCACTTATAATTACAAAGCAGAAACCTCAGGATTTATCGGTTTTCAGAATATGGGTACATTTACCTTGTTATATGTCAGGTGTTCAGTATGTAATCTGACAAGTACCATTTACCACCAATCATGAACAAAAAATTGAACTAACTGAACAGAAATCTTATGAAAAGTGTTTCTTCAGCCAACCATGATGCCAAGATTAATTGGTGTAGATAGTTTGTCTTTGTTCACCCTGAAGACTATCCACTAAGTACCAGTTACCACCAATTGAGTATGAACACAGGCATACCAACAGAGCAAATTTTATAGCTATTTTTATATTGGTTAATCAGAAGTAACAGATGGTAACCTTGCATTGACCGGTGGTCATTTTGGATTTATGGACCTAGTACACACATTATTCTGATAATATGCCCTCAAATTACCATTTACTATCAAAATGAACACTGGGGGCCCTAAATAAACAAAATATTCCACTCAACAAGACCAACACAGACTTCTGTTACTTTCTAGTTATGATTCCCGTTAGATCTCACCTCTAGTGTTTTAGCTTGGCTGTCCCTCAGTAGAGATGTCAACTCCTCATTACGTTTACGTATGTGGCTCATCTCTGTCCTCATGTCATTTATCTTCACTTCAAACTTTTTTGTTATTGTCTCACATTCTTCTTTCCATCTTAAATATGAAGTAACCAACAAGTTAGTACCACATAATCCTGACCATAAGGACAAAAAATAACACTTTTTCAAAGTCAACCATCAATCATTAAAATACCATACAGGCAGTAATATAATAGTTGATAACAACTTAAGAATACCCGAATTGTATACCTTATTTTCATAATAATGAGGATCTTTTCCCATGAATGAATATCATATTTAAAAAGAGAGAGCCTTCAAAATATCTTAGATGCTATCACGTACACATGAAGGCACTATAAGACTACACTGGATAAAGAAATAGTTATTGTGATACTAATCAGATATACTTACTTTTCAATAACAGCTACTCTCTTCTATTAAAACACCCTTAACTTTTTCTTGCTCACATCTTTCACTTATAATTCTGTATCAACAAATAGGTTGCTTACTTGGCTGACATCCTCTGCTGTCCTGTCAGCAGTTTCCTTAGCTCCCCCATAGCATGACGACTGACATCCTCAGAACTCTGCAGGCGTACCTCGTAATCCTGCATCTTCTGTTGCTGCTCGTTCTCCAAAATTGTCATCTAATGTCATAATGAGATCAATTTATCAATTAGTTTATAAGTAAAACTTTAAATAGAGAAATCTAACAAGAATAGGGAGTAGTGTTTTAACATGATATCTAAACGACAATATATCTTCTCATTCTAGTTATTTCACAAGGCAAATTAATCAGAAACAATAGAAAATATATCTTCTCATTCTAGTTATTTCACAAGGTAAATAAGTCAGATACAATAGAAAATACCAACTATTTTTCATTGGCAATGAGTTAATTTTTTACAAATTCTTTTAATTATGAACACTTTATGAATTATGAATTATTAACAACACTATTAACGAATATCAGACAGTTAAGGATTACACCCCCAGTACAGGACCCAAAACATCAATATATAATAAGGTAGTTCATAGTCAATAGATAACAGGAGGAAGACCCTATCATACATTAATGTATATGTACCTCCTTCTGGTATTTACGCAGTGCAAACTCCTTCTCCTTTTTGGCTGCTGATACCACTTTCTTCATTTCATCTGCATCGTTCTGAAGGCGTACTCGGTCATCATTGAGGTGTTCAAATTCATTTTCCATCTGCTTCATTCTGTCCTTCATCTGCGTAAACTGTGTTTCATACTGACTCTTCAGCTGTTCATTGCTGCAAGTCAAGTATCTTCATTGGTTAAAACTTTAATAAGGATTTTCAAAAGAATCATTTTTTGTAAAATTGACTAAAATGAACTGGTTTGGTTTTGATTTGTTTATGTCCTGTTTAAAGCTAAGGTCAATGATGGACATGTCTCCATGTGTGTAATGTATGTGTGTACCTGTATGTGTGTAATGTATGTGTGTACCTGTATGTGTGTGATGTATGCATGTACCTGTAAGTGTGTAATATATGTGTGTAATGTATGCATGTACCTGTAAGTGTGTAATGTATTTGTGTACCTGTATGTTTGTACCTGTATGTGTGTACCTGTATGTGTGTACCTGTATGTGTGTTATGTATGTGTGTACCTGTATGTGTGTAATGTATTTGTGTACCTGTATGTTTGTACCTGTATGTGTGCAGTAAGTTGTTGCATTTGACTCCAATGTGACAATTCAAAGGTTTTGAGAACAATAGTATCGCAATTTTTCTAAACCCTTGTTCCAAAGTTGAGTTTCATTAATGAACTTCTCTGTAATGAATTGAGTTCCAAAGCGTCTAAATGTTACATACACAGACCCTCTTGTGATATAACACAATGTACATGTTTAAAAATTTGCATTAAAATCTGTCCATTTCTACATCAAATTTTTCACCGAATGATAACATATGTGGCCAACAAAACCAGTACTTTGTTCCACAGTGACCAATGGTATCAATAAACCAGTGTTTTAATCAACCCTCGGCTAAAACACATTAGGTACAGAAATAGTTAAACAGTAATGGTGTAGTAATTAAGGACAAGCTTATACATCAGATATGACCCACCCCATCTCCTGGCGGCGTAGTTCATTTTGTAACGTGTCTAGTTTAACATCGTTGTCATCTCGGCTTCTCTCCGCATTCACAGCTCGTCGGTTCAGGTCCTCATATGCATCCTTCTCCTTTGCTGCCTGGACCATAGTTTCTTTAAATGACTGGAGTCAGAAGATTACAGCTAGTATCGTATATACTCAATCCATAATAACAATAGCTAACCTGTAGATTTAAACAATGAAGACAGACATAATTTCAACACAAAGTTAAAACTCAATCTAAAATGCAAACCTTCAGAATCAAGTCTATAATGTACACGTTTTGCAGGAGAGTTACCTTTAAGGTAGTACATGTATATAACTGAAGAGTTTGTGTGTTTCTCACCTTCTCTAGCTCAGCTTCCACCATACGTTTCTCTCTTATGGCCCTCTGTAACATCTCAGATTTTTCTGCATTTTCCTTTAAAAAAAAACCATTTTCCAAGTGTAAAACAATGTGACCTTGTAATTATTCGCGAAGATTAATTTAATCGTACAATATTGATGGATTTTCTCCAAAATAAGCTGTCAGATGACTCCAGGCCTGGTAGTGTTTAGAGAAGGAGTCATTTAAAAATTCTTACCCAGATAAATCTTTTACTGAAAACAAAGTTTTCATTAGACTTTGAGGTGAAGGTCACAGTGACTAATTATATAACACTGTACGTTTGTATCTTTAACAGTTTGAAAATGATGGCCCAGTCAAAATTTCAAAAGAACCAGAAAAACTAGTGCTAATCAAAAAGATTTATGTCTCCTTTATTTATAGAGGAGATGAAGTTATTTCACAAAGCATGTAATAAAAGGTGATTTAACAGCAGACCCAAACCTAGAACTCTGTTTAGAAACACCACTAGCTTCTTGCTAGATCCATGTTTTACACTGGAGAGAACCAATATTACATGACTTACCATCTCCATACTGTGAAGTTCTTCTGTGAGTTTTGTGATCCTCTCATTGCTTTGTTGTCGGATGTTATCAACCTAATAAAAAATGAAGTCCTAGATTGTACATGTCTACACTGGCGATACAAAAAACATTACTGTATGATAAAACACCCAGCAATAAGAACTAAATTAAATACTGAAGACTAGTTTTCAGCTCCAAGAGACTTCTTTATTCCTAAAGCACAATATCATTAAACACCTTTTTTACAGATTTTTTTCTTCGATATGTAGTGTTACATCAACTTCAATGTACAATGTCATAAATATATAAAGTGAAATAAGATAAAGTTAAGAAAATATAAAGCAAAAAAAGACCAATAATTCTAGTCCTACTTATCAAGATGCCAGTGTTAGGATATAGTGTGACAGAAAACACACCTCTTGTCTCGTGCGAACCCCAGCTTCATTGATTAGCTTGTTTATTGAGTCTTGGAGTTTCTCAATCTCTTCCTCTCTCTGTTTCACTTCCACCTCCGCCTGCAATGTAAACAATGAGCGAGCAGATGATAAACAGCCTGCAAAATGCAAAATTTGTATTTTATGAAAGACGACTTGTAATTTCAACATTAGTACATAGCATAAATTACAATAAACCATGTCAACATCACAACAAAAAGACAGGACATTGTTTTAAGATAGTTTCCATCCCTTTAGACTTGACAAGTGTAAAATTGTTTATACAAATCACTCAAAAGAATAATGTGAAAACTGAAATGATAAAACTATGGACCAGTAATAAAATCAGATAAACAGTTTATTCTGCTTCCAAATTTCTGTGAAATTGTTCAATCATATCCAGAATGAGAAAACTTTGACTAAGAATGTTATAACTGTACCGTACCTGTTCCTTTTCTAGGACAGCATTTTCCACCATCTGTACCGCGTCTCTGACCTGTGTGACCGCATCCACTTCCTTAGATTCCAGCTCTGCACTATTAGAGTAAAAACATTTCCATTTTAGAAAGCAGAACTTCAGTTATGAAGAAAATATTTAACTTTTCATTTATTAAGTATTTGCAAACTCTGTAACACGTTTTAAGAAAACAAAATGCAATCCCCTTAAACATGTACAGAAATACCCATATTTACAATGTGCTCTACAGTAGAATAGTAAAGGTCGCTGTGTACTTCTACTAACAAACAGTGAATATTAGTACAACTAATATTTTCACAAGCTCCTACATTGTATTTCTATTGATCAGACAGAAGATATAAAACATCTTACTTTCGTTTCAGCATTTCCTTAACTCTGGCCTCTAGACCTTCTTTGTCCATCTTCAGGGAGTCTAACTCTTTGGTTTTTCCTGTTAATCTGAAGGTAAACAAACCTCGTAAAATTAAAATTATGAAAAGAAATATTATAAAAAAAACAAAAACATATATAGTTACTTATTACGTAGTACAATATTTATTTAGGTATGTCATTTATAAAATACTTGACACATTATGATCTATATTTCAGAGAAGCTATCCTCTATGCATGTACATTTTTGTACATTGTATTTTATTTTAATATACGTTTGACAACATGAAATAAATATCTTGAATATCTTACACCAGATATTCTGTATCATGAACCTTATTCTGCAGTAGTATGAACAGATATAAACTTCATATATAGAGAGAAATGATATACTGATGAGACATTAGTCAGTAACCACACTGAGGGCAGCCCTTTAATCTGTTTGATGACCTCTGGTCACTGTGAATATGGTCAGCATTACATTCACTCTATATTGTCTCATACCACAAATCTGGAATTGTTCAGATCTTCCGTGCTTGTCAGAAAGGGTAAGAGCTTATTGAGTTACAACTACATAATATAATTTCAATTTGTATGTTATTGTTCTGTTTGTGTCACAGAGTTTTAGTATGTACCGTCCCTTTCTTGAGTAAACAATTTTACTATCAAGTTGAGGTGATGTAAAGATATTGATACGGTATCACTTACTTTTGTTGCAAGTTGTCTAAGATTTTCTTCATATCACCAACCCTGCTGTCAGACACACCCTCCTTAAAGAGGATGTCGGCTATTTCTTGGTCCTGTGTGCAGATAGATTGATAAAGGATTGTTAATAGATACCATTAACAATAAGTAAAGCTTTAATACCAGATCAAAGACACTGAGTCAAAATACACAGTGACTAACTAATTACTTCATCCCCTACAAAAATGTCCGATACACAGTGACTAACTACTTACTTCAGTCCCCTACAAAAATGTCCGATACACAGCAGAGCAGAAGCAATCATGGAAAAACTGTCTCAATTTATAAAGTAATTTGTAAATTGTCTCAAATGATACAGTACTGTATAAATTGTCCCAAATTATACTGTGCATCCAGATATGAACTGTCTCCGATTATACAGTTATTTATACATAGTTCCAGCTTATACAGTATGTTAATGCCCACATTTTCTCAGAGAACACGGTACAGTAAAACCCGACTACAATTATACTGCCAACTATTGTGAAACAGCATTATGGTAAATGTAAACACAATATAAACTGATTTCAAAAAATTTTGAAGGCTGGAGTTAATAATATATGAAAAATAGACATTAAAATGGTGATGCAAAGTGAAGCTGTAAATGAAACACGGACATTTTATACCTTAATATCTGTAAGTTATTTTGGTTCAAAGCCATCAAAAGTGATCTGTTTATTGTCTGACAAGGACGCGTACCTTCCACTGTAGCTGTTGCTCCAGGTCTTTGTTGCCTTTCTTCAGATCTTTGTTCTGCATCAATGTTGCTTCTAACTCCTGTTTAGTTAACCTGTGAAAATGCAAATGTATACAAATCAAATATCAAAATGTGTGCAAATCTAACTTATGCATGTGTAAGGCTTTTGTAAAAATCAAAATAGAAATCATTAGCCACCAATCAAACTACGAGCAATGAACCATGGCTAATCAATAATATGGTGAACCGTGACACTACTTCTGTATAAACTCCAGGTATCATGGTTAATCAACAATATGGTAAACCATCACACTACTTCTGTATAAACTCCAGGTATCATGGCTAATCAATAATATGGTGAACCGTGACACTACTACTTCTGTATAAACTTCAGGGAGCATGGGTAATCAATAATATGGTGAACCATCACACTACTTCTGTATATATAAACCCCAGGTATCATGACTAATCAATAATACGGTGAACCGCGACACTACTTCTGTATAAACTTCATGTATCATGGTTAATCAATAATATAGTGAACCGTGACACTACTTCTGTATGAACTTCAGGTATCATGGTTAATCAATAATATAGTGAACCGTGACACTACTTCTGTATGAACTTCAGGTATCATGGTTAATCAATAATATAGTGAACCATGACACTACTTCTGTATATATAAACTTCAGGTATCATGGTTAATCAATAATATAGTGAACCGTGACACTACTTCTGTATATATAAACTCCAGGTATCATGACTAATCAATAATACGGTGAACCGTGACACTACTTCTGTATATATAAAATTCAGGTATCATGGTTAATCAATAATATGGTGAACCATGACACTACTTCTGTATATATAAACTTCAGGTATCATGGCTAATCAATAATATGGTGAACCGTGACACTACTTCTGTATAAACTCCAGGTATCATGGCTAATCAATAATATGGTGAACCGTGACACTACTTCTGTATAAACTCCAGGTATCATGGCTAATCAATAATATGGTGAACGGTGACACTACTTCTGTATATATAAACTCCAGGTATCATGACTAATCAATAATATGGTGAACCGTGACACTACTTCTGTATATATAAACTCCAGGTATCATGACTAATCAATAATACGGTGAACCGTGACACTACTTTTGTATATATAAAATTCAGGTATCATGGTTAATCAATAATATGGTGAACCGTGACACTATTTCTGTATAAACCTCAGGTATCATGGCTCATCAATAATACGGTGAACCGTGACACTACTTCTGTATATATAAACTTCAGGTATCATGGCTAATCAATAATATGGTGAACCGTGACACTACTTCTGTATAAACTCCAGGTATCGTGGCTGCATTTACCTCAGGTCTTGTTGACAGTCCTCCAGCTCCTTGTTGAGAACACCAACTGTTTCATAGTACTCTGTCTGCATCTGTTCCAATCAACAAACAAGTATACTGTGCATGTTAAGAAGTTTTGTAAAGGGAAGCAAAAAGTGTTTTAGTTTAGCCCAAGTAAAGATATGACGATATGTTACTGAATAGAGGTTTATCTTTTCTTACACAACTGTACCTGGATCCCTTAAAAACTCTTTTAAATTAATTTGTCTTCAGACTTTCTACATAAATTAGTGTGAATCATTGCTTTAAACGTCTTCCATCATATTAAACAAGAATTCCACGGAAGTGGATGTGTCGCCTGCGCAGGAAGCTGGGAGATTACGAAGAAATAGATACACTTTTCATTTCAAGAAATAATGTTAAAAGTTAGCAATAATCATAGATTATGTTTTTGGATGGCATCATTTTGTTATATAATCTGTTATTCAAGGAAGAATACTCTGACTTTTAAGGAACTTGCTATGGAAAATCATTGTCTCAATTCCACTCCAATATGGTGTCCACAAGCAAGACCAGCATCGCCTCATTGGTATCCATAAAAAAAATCTTGAAAATGCAAGTATGCTTAGCACTGCATGAAGTTTGAGTTTGATAGGCCCAAGGAAACTCAAGTTATCGCACGAAAACAGATTTTCTATTTATAGTAACCGTGACCTTGACCTTTGACCTTCGGACCTAAAAAGCAATCCCAAGCAAGCACTTTTGGTAAGGAAGCACTGCATGAAGTTTGAGTTTGATCGGCCCAAGGAAACTCAAGTTATCGCACGAAAACCTCTGTGCGGACACTGCCGCCGACATTGACGCCGACATAGCAATACCTATGTGTCACCAGCTTTTCGCAGGCGACACAAAAAAGGAGTTTTTAAGGGATCCAGGTATATCCAGTAAGATAAGATGAATCTCTGTCCAGTGACAAACAAAAGATTAAACAGTGAGGTTACGTACCTTGTGGGCCTGCTGTTCTACCACCTTCCACTGGTGACTGTCCTTCTCACTCTGTATACGTAACAAACAATTTAATTCATTAAAATTATAACATTTTTGTTTTGAGAAACATCTAAAATTACAGTAATAAAGAGGTGATTTTCTCCTTATTTCAAATCATACATATGTATTTTGCAACCTCTTGTAACATCTCACCAAACATTGCTCATATATAATAGCACATTTTCAAATTTTCATTTTTTTTTAAACTTTCAGTTTGAAACAGTCTACACTATTATGCTATGCCTATACCAGGTATGGGTTTTTCCTGTGAAAATTTATCAAATATATATATACATGAGTATCCCTTGGATTCTATTACACACCTGAAGTTCCCTCTGTAGTCGGTCTATTTCATGATCAGCCTCCTGCCACCGAGATATTGCAGCTTCTTTTTCCTTAAATTGAAGCAGTTGTTGTAAAAAAAATAGTACTGACTGTACATATATAGAATTAATATCTGTGTACATATAAGGGCTATTCCAGATAATGGATACATTGGAGGGAAGCCACTTCTGATTAACAAGGAGGGATGGGGACTAAAACAATTGTTTACGTTTGTGTGAGTATTGGTGAGATGAGATATAACTTTATTTGAAAGGTTTGAATCCTGAAATAAGTTTTTAGATTTATTATTTGCAAATACATGTATTTAGTTGTAACCCGGGTATGTATATGATATATATATATATAGTGTGTGTATATATATATTACAATGAGCGCTGTCAACTGTCTGTATACACGTGTGTTGTCCCGTCTGGTAAACAGTGTATGTGACGTCATCAGTTCGGAATGTATGTACCTGTGTTGTTATGTTCTGTTTCAACATTCTGACTGAATTGTACTTACGATGTAGACCTTGGACTTGCCCCTTGCACGAATAAAGCACCCTATATTCCTGCCACTATATTTCGGCTACTGGATAAATACTTACTGCCCAGTGGTCATTCTTACAATCCAACTTGTAAGAGAAGGATCTGTGCTTTAGATCTGCTGATTGTATAAAGGCATATAGAGACATTGCCGCCAGCACTGATTAATGAATTATCCTAGGAACATCACACCCGGTATGTATTGTGGTATTAAGGTAACAACTATCTTGTTACTGTAATATTTAGTAACTTGAATTAATATATACATTGTATAGCGGTCAATATTCAGAGGGCCGGTACCTCGGTCGGCGCGGAAGTTGTGTAATATATGTGAGGGTGAATGTATTTATTGTATTGTCCTGTATTGTAGGTTTCTCGGAGATAGTAAAAGAAAGATTATGGAATACAAAACCTGTCTGTGTTTGTAATTTATCCTGAGCAACCGGTGACCTAGTTGACAGTTATCATTGTAACACCTACTTGTAAGGCGCTGTCGGCCTGTGTCTGTAGATTATGTAACCGGTGACCTAGATGACAGTTATCATTGTAACACCTACTTGTAAGGCGCTGTCTGCCTGTGTCTGTAGATTATGTAACCGGTGACCTAGTTGACAGTTATCATTGTAACACCTACTTGTAAGGCGCTGTCGGCCTGTGTCTGTAGATTATGTAACCGGTGACCTAGTTGACAGTTATCATTGTAACACCTACTTGTAAGGCGCTGTCGGCCTGTGTCTGTAGATTATGTAACCGGTGACCTAGTTGACAGTTATCATTGTAACACCTACTTGTAAGGCGCTGTCGGCCTGTGTCTGTAGATTATGTAACCGGTGACCTAGTTGACAGTTATCATTGTAACACCTACTTGTAAGGCGCTGTCGGCCTGTGTCTGTAGATTATGTAACCGGTGACCTAGTTGACAGTTATCATTGTAACACCTACTTGTAAGGCGCTGTCGGCCTGTGTCTGTAGATTATGTAACCGGTGACCTAGTTGACAGTTATCATTGTAACACCTACTTGTAAGGCGCTGTCGGCCTGTGTCTGTAGATTATGTAACCGGTGACCTAGTTGACAGTTATCATTGTAACACCTACTTGTAAGGCGCTGTCGGCCTGTGTCTGTAGATTATGTAACCGGTGACCTAGTTGACAGTTATCATTGTAACACCTACTTGTAAGGCGCTGTCGGCCTGTGTCTGTAGATTATGTAACCGGTGACTTAGTTGACAGTTATCATTGTAACACCTACTTGTAAGGCGCTGTCGGCCTGTGTCTGTAGATTATGTAGGACTTGCTCGTTTTCCGTCGTAGGACTATAGTCACCCCCCTCTGTGTCAATGGGAACACCAGCCAGGTGGTTGTCCAGTTTCTCCTTTAGCTGAGCTGATATCATGTTATTTTCATTGACAATCCTGTCCAGTTCTGGCCGTAAATTACCCATCTCCTCCTGGAACAAAAAAAATATCAAACTTAAATAATAATACCATTTACAGTTACAACTCAGACAATAGCAAAAATTACACATATGACCTAGTATATGTTGTATAATATCTATATACATGTCCGATAATTAACAGTTTAGATTGGGTTTTTTGGGGTTTTTTCCCCCAAATATTTTATTACCCCCAGCCAAATATTATATATATATAAAATATACTGATAAGTATATAGATTGGAGTTTATGGAGTGATTGACTATGCTCTATGACAGAAACCCTACCCAAAGGAAAATGCATGCTAAAGAAAGCAGTTCAAATCAGCTCAAACTGTTTTTCAATATTCTTTTAATTAGCCTGAGGGCTGGTTGAATATATATAGTGAATCACTTTATTTTCATAAGAAATTAACTTTCTGTGTTTTGAATGTTGACTCATTTTGCAAATTTGAATCTTCCTCAAAATTGATTCCATAAATACATGTGATCATAATGTCATTTATAAAATAGTAAATTTTCAATGTTCATGAATAAAACATCCATGCACAGTTCATCAAATAAAGAATATTGTATATGGAATTTATTTACAGCTGATATTTCAGAATCTTCTTGTTGCATACTTACTCTATACAGATCTACTTCCTGTTGTAACTGATTCAGCTGCTGGTCATATTCAGTAATCAGGGGAGATAGCACTCTGTGATAAACAAAGAATGATACATGTATCATAAGTAAATGGAGTATATGAATTTGGATGTAAATTTGATACGATTTGCAATTTCATTAACATTCCAGCCTAAAAAGCTATGTCCAATTCTACATGTAACAATACAGGTATTTGACAAAATTAATACCGGTATTCATATTTAGTACACTTTATATTAAAATGTTTTACAAATATTTTTACTATACCCTATCTTATCGCAAGGAAATTAACCTAATTATAAGCATTCAAGGGTTGATAAACACTAAAACACTAACAGAAAACAAGTGTGTAGGAGCAGTTTTAATAAAGTTTTATACATTTATAGGGATTATTGTTTAAATCATGTAACATATAGACATACTATTTGAGTAATTGTAGAATACTTTTAAAAAAAACAGGAGTTAGTAATAATATTAGAAGATGGATCCTTCAAAGCACAGAAAAACATAACTAGCCATATGGGGTATGTACTTTATAATTAAATTACTAAACAAAATGACTATTCTCTGACATACTTGTGATCGGTCAGCCATGGTGATGTAGGTCCCTCCTGGGCTAGTGGTCCCTACACAAAAGTAATCACAAAATAATAACATTACAAAATTACCACTAGCCTCCCTATTGCATTTGTGGCTCAAAGAGCTATTGGAATGTACAATTTAAAATCAAAAACTGAGAAAATGCAAAGCATTTGCAACCTGTTTAGATCCCTTTTCATTTATTCCTTCACTAATTGGATCAAGCCTTTCTGCCAACAGTGTGGCCATAACTTAAATTTATAAATATGTACAGTACTTGTATCAATTACCCCCCCCCCCCCCCCCCCCCCCTTTATAAACTAAGCAATGGTTGTAATTATTCAACTACCTATTATTAAATCTACCACTGGTAATAATATAAGTAAGTAAGTTGTCCAACTCCAGTAAATTTAGCATATTTCCAAAAATGAATCCCTTTAACCTGTGGATAATTGATATTATAAAAAGCAATTATAAATAAGAAATTTAGTAAGAAATGAGAATTGAAGCCAATACTGACACAAAATCTTGAATTCATATTGTTTATCCCTTATTGGGAATCAAGAGTATCATTTTCACATGATTTTTAAGTATATGATAGTCTGTAAATATGTAAATAATTAAAATTACCTCTAGAGGATCATCCTCATCCAATGAACCGGATACATATTTTGACAATGCTGCACTCAGTCTTTGAACTGCAAATCAGAATAAACGCTGTTAAAAGTTCTTATATTACCGGCATTTTAGGTTAAATAATAAAAGACTCAACTCATTACTATTTCCAGACAATTCATGTTTACCAACATGATACCACCAGTTCAGTTACGATATAATTTGGATCAAACCTTTCTGCCAACAGTGTGGCCATAACATAAATTTATAAATATGTACAGTACTTGTATCCATTAACCCCCCCCCCCCCCCCCCCCCCCCCCCCCCCCCNAATCTTCAGGCTTGATCCAAAATTGTTACATTATGCTGTCATTCATTCAAATATGTGATATGGTAGTAGGACAAAGAAAAGTGATAAAGATAGTGCCGTCGCTGGGGCACGAACCTTTGACCCTTATTGGCTCTCCAGCCTGATGCTCTACCGCTGAGCTAAAGGGAAATTCTCTAAAGCTGACGCTTGTAAGGCATCCAAATTTACAATGCAATTCTTTTACAATATCATTAATTGAAAATTGCGATACAATATGTATTTATTATCAGAGATACAATTTTTTTATCACCAACTTGAATGATTAATTCTTTTGGATACATAGATTACCCATTTATCAATATATGTGAGGCATGTCAGCAACTCAAAACCTTCTAAACAATGTCGGAGAATTCCACGTTTTCATAAAGTAGTGCACACTGTGCAGACTTGGACATTTAGAAAGATGTCTGGTGTCAGGGCCAGAGGAAACTTGGGCTAGTCTGGCCATATGTTTCTTTTTCTCATAATACAGAATTATGATATCGATTTAATAAGTAGATTTTCTTAAAATAATAATGATTACATTAATAAAGGCTTTATTTGTTCTTGATAAAATATTGAGCATGAAACAATGTATGATAAATATACAATTTTTACGGCTACAAATCGAACTGGTGTTTAGATTACTCCTATCACATTTTTCTATAGGATATGAGTTTGCCGATTGTGACGCCTGTCAGAAGTATCTCGTCGTGTAAAACCTCTAACACTGTTGGAGTAGTTTTTAGATCTAACAATAGCTAATTAAGATAGCAATTCCATAGATCTAGCATATGCTTTGACATCACATGGACTTCGTTAAGTTATCACCAAAAAAGGTGATCCTTCAACACAAATTAAATAGACAACAGACGAACACTCTGACAGTAGATAACGTTTTTTATGCTATGCAGTGATCCTTGGATAAGTTCAAACTTGCACAAACCACCGCGCCACATTACAAACCTTGATCTTTCAGAAACTCAACCTCTTCAGATTCCATTATTGATCTTGTACCAAACAAGGCAATTAATTCGAAATTTTGTAGAAAATGTAGATAGATATATGATTAAATATGAATGGAATTTAAACAAATGTCCTGTCAACGATAATTTTCCCTGATTCAGCCGCCATTGTTGTTTACAACCATAGTTACGCAGCAAATTAATATTTATTGAAATATTTCTAAGACATAAAATATATAAATGAAAAAAACCCACTTCAACAAAATATTTAAAATGTAAAACCATTGAATCACTTGTTATGAAGATTTTTATATTACTTAAACCTATCGGATATTCCGCCCTACTCTACTGTATCAGTCACATGACCGGACAAGATGGAGGAGGTGGATCACATTATCATTCACTCCCTCCGGGTGATCGGATGGTACGTATAATGACGGCGTCGCATTCGTAAATATAGTTGTGTTATTTAATTGGTATAAGTGAACTTAATGCAGTCGCTACGACATTGCATGAAGATGAAAATGTCACGATTTTGTTATGGGCCGATTTGTCAACTGATTGTATGCATGACTGTCACTGCCATTTTCCGAATGGTTAGACCGGCTAACCAAAGTTGTTCGTTGATGAAATAGGGAAGGTCCTATGTATTTGATGTTGTTTACTGGCAAGCCTTGGCAAATACTTTCAACGTTTGCTTTAATATCCCTCATAGTCTTAGAAATAGCGTGCCCATGTCAGGTCCTGCCTGTCGTTCGTCTGCATAAACGAACATGGTTTAGTATCGTCAACTAAAACAACTTTGAGATCGAAACTTTTACCGTGCTAAAACTAAGAAGTGACGTGTTCCATCTCTCAGAAACTTAGTTTAGATATGAAGGCAGACTTTTTATTTTGCAAATGTTATACAGAGAGACAGCATTTTTGCTTAGAGCTAAAAGGGAAAACAGAACTACTAACTAACTTCCTTCTAGACATGCATATCTAGACAGTTTGTTATTTGTTGGAGGATTTGTGTCTATACACAAAAATTAATAATTGTAACCCGATGTTTATTATGTGTTTGTTATGTATATATATAAACAGATACACGTAAGACTTTGGAGTTTGTGTATGTATTTTACCTGAAAGGACACATCTTTGTGATGTCATTGATTGTGTTGGTGTATTGGCGTACACGTTTTGTGTGTTATATGTTCGTTATTAACTCAATTGATCAGAGTTGTCAACTGACCAATAGCAGCACTTGCTTGACCATCCAACATGTATTTTATATCGACTCTTATCCGACACGCAACCAGAGACAAGGAGTCAGACATACATGAAAGACACTGCATACTTCCAACTTACATTGGAATTATCCGACACACAACCTGAGACAAGGAGTCAGACATACATGAAAGACACAGCATACTTCCAACTTACATCGGAATTATCCGACACACAACCTGAGACAAGGAGTCAGACATACATGAAAGACACTGCATACTTCCAACTTACATTGGAATTATTCGACACACAACCTGAGACAAGGAGTCAGATATACATGAAGGACACTGCATACTTCCAACTTACATTGGAATTATCCGACACACAACCTGAGACAAGGAGTCAGACATACATCATAACATGAAGGACACTGCATGCTTCCAACTTACATTGGAATTATTTGACACACAACCTGAGACAAGGAGTCAGACATACATGAAAGACACTGCATACTTCCAACTTACATCGGAATTATCCGACACACAACCTGACACAAGGAGTCAGACATACATGAAAGACCCTGCATACTTCCACCTTACGTTGGAATTATCCGACACACAACCTGAGACAAGGAGTCAGATATACATGAAGGACACTGCATACTTCCAACTTACATTGGAATTATCTAACACACAACCTGAGACAAGGAGTCAGATATACATGAAGGACACTGCATACTTCCAACTTACATTGGAATTATCTAACACACAACCTGAGACAAGGAGTCAGACATCCATGAAAGACACAGCATACTTCCAACTTACATTGGAATTATTCGACACACAACCTGAGACAAGGAGTCAGGCATACATGAAAGACACAGCATACTTCCAACTTACATCGGAATTATCCAACACACAACCTGAGACAAGGAGTCAGACATACATGAAACACCCTGCATACTTCCAACTTACTTTGGAATTATCCGACACACAACCTGAGACAAGGAGTCAGACATACATTAAAGACACAGCATACTTCGTGGTACATTGGGATTATCTGACACACAACCTGAGACAAGGAATCAGAGATACATGAAAGACACTGCATACTTCCAGCTTACATTGGAATTATCCGACACGCAACCTGAGACAAGGAGTCAGACATACATGAAAGACACAGCATACTTCGTGGTACATTGGAATTATCTGACACACAACCTGAGACAAGGAGTCAGACATACATGAAAGACACTGCATACTTCCAACTTACATTGGAATTATTTGACACACAACCTGAGACAAGGAATCAGACATACATGAAAGACACTGCATACTTCCAACTTACATTGGAATTATCCGACACACAACCTGAGACAAGGAGTCAGACATACATGAAAGACACTAAAAATACATGTATGGTTATTTTATCTGATTTGTATCCATATTGTAACGTGTCAGCCCCGTATAACTGTGGTGATTTCAACCACCGATGTCTCGGCCCTGCAGCCGATTTGTTTACAGATCATCGTGCGCCTGTGTGGCTGGTTTAAATTTTCACTACATAAATAACACCATGTCCATTTTATAGTCCAAAATGTGTTTGTTCAAATAACAACTACAGAACATTGTAGAAATGACATATATAACTTCCCTGTTCAATTTGTGTTTAACCGGCCTCTTGTCAGCATTTCAAATACCTCTCAAAATTGCCATTTTTTGAAGCTGACTATGCGAGATGCATGAAACTACTTACATTGATTCTTGACTCTGTAGACTTGTAAGTCATGGTAAATTGATCGACATTAAGTCATTATTATGTTTAAAAGAGTATGCTCACCTTTTTGGCCACTGTTAATGTCTTTTACATTTTAATGATGTCTCAGATGTTTAGTCAGTCAGGGAGGCCGCTCGGCGACCTCTCAAGTCTCGAATATTTCTTACCGGCGTCTGACATCACCACCGCAGGGGATTCCCTAAACTCAGTATATTTATATTTTTAATCCATAGCCTTAGCGGCATTAAACAGTAGTTTTACATGTATTTTTCTACTCTGTACAATTATTTTAACACAAAGCACTTATTGTTTGAGCGGATATTATGAGATGCTGTATGTGTGTTATAAGGTCTGTTACTTTTACATGCAATCCTATGGTACCTTTCTCATCTAATCACCAGACCTCTCCTGACTAGTAATATTTGGAAGTTTATAAATACAGGTGGGATCAGACTTTTTTCTTCAGTTCATCACTGTCTTCGTTGGCAGACGGTTGCCACTGAACAGGTCAGACTTGGGAATTCCTCATACTTTGGGTTTAGACTTACGTCATTTATAGTTCTATTTATAGACACTGTCATCGGATATAAGGGGAAATCCTGGTATTTGGCTATTTAAAGCTGTATTGGTCATTTCATTACAAATTATCTCAATAGTTGAAGGTTTCTTGTATTTTTGCTGGCCTACACATCAGATTAGAATTTAGGTGGCTTAGAATAAAGGCTCTGGTGATTAGCAGGATATTCTACAGTAAACACATGTACAGTCAGTCAGTGTATTATTTGGGAGCGATTGTGTACAATTTGTCAATTACATTTGTTATTGTCTGGTGCAAGGACCTGTGTTGATGCCTTGTTTGTATTGTAATATTATCCTGATCTGTATTCTGTAGATATACCTTGTTATTTAACTTGTTCCTTTAATAAATTTTATTTGTATCTGTCTATTGGGCTCTTGGTTGATATTTAGAGTTTTCGTATAGTTAATTAGACTACTAGACTATTTCTGACCATTGTTCTCGGATCTGACATAGAGGAGAGATAACATATCCTACCGTGATAATCCAGGATCCAGGAAGCACACTAAATTGATGAAACAAAAGCCCCATACTTCTTCGACGGCGTCCGGTGAGACGTGGGCACCGGACGCGCGCTCGTTACAATATAATATCCATTTCAACAGTCAACAAGAAAATAATTAAGACAGAATCTCTTGGTTTGCTAATATGTTCATTTTCTTCTGATATATTTATGAAATAAAATGTGTTGCAATTGCTTTATTGTAATACAAAGCAGACATTTTCAAATGATTTTCAGACTAATTGAGAACATTTTGTATAACAAATTGTTTATAAGGGGTCATTATGGCTAGATGACCCTTTGTGCCTCTTCCTTCTCCCTGGAATCATACGTTTGCAGTATGGACAAGCCAGGACTGACAAACGGGCTACATATATATTTATCAAGATTTCGCTGACAAAATTGTTTATACTCTGATTTTTTGTTCACATTTCATTGGCATTCAACAGATTGTCAATTAAGTAAGCACTTTTTACTAAGCTTTATGACGTTTTGGTTTTAAAACAAAAATGCACAATAATCGTTTTTGTTGGCCACTGGCTATGTTAGAACTTTAATAGAAAAGACTGGTGGCTGCTTATTCCAGTGCTGTTGCAACTTACATAGTACAGAAACTGTATCAGTAATATACATTAGGCAGATCTAGACCTGCAACTGACTGCTTACAGCAGGAGACTATTGGACATTGTAGAAAATGAAAGGGAGATATAATTTATTATGTAGTGTACATGTATTACATATTAGACTAGAATAATTCTTTACTTATTTTCATTCATTTTGACAGTGACATAGAGGAGGATGTCACAAATCTGAAGCAATTCTCTACAGAGCTGATTGTGTCTGCCGTCATTAGGTGTCTCAAGGTTATCAACAGTGATGTGGACCTCCCCAACTCTCTTCCTGGTGGAATGTCGGCCAAGTTTAGGATTGGCACATCCATGGCTGCTCACATTCAGGTGATTTGTGTGTAGATGATATACAGTAAAGTCTTGTTTATCCAGCCACCTTTGTTTCTAGCTAATTACAAATATTCAGATGACACTCAACATTAAACATTAAAATGAACCACACATATTGGAACTTAAGTCATTTAAGGGAATACTTTGTAACATAAAATAATGTACAGTGAGGTAATGAAAACTCCTAATTGGGATTACTGTGACACAATTTTCCTAATTCCAAAGCCACAGGCCCCATTCTCAAAACAGTGCAGGGGGGCTGAAATAAAGGGGCTGCATTCTGAGACAGCTGGATAACTGAGACACATTAGCACATTAAAATGGTAAAGGGGAAATCTGTTCCCTCATTCACTGGCTGGATTGAAATATTTATACAAATATATCTGTAACATCAGTATATATACCTTTATACACATACACTGTATCAAATTGATGACTATCTACGGAAGGTAGACATTATTTAAGGTCATTTTCTTACACTAAATATTTTTTGTTGATTTCAGTATTAGTGAACTTTTGCTCATGATGTGAGATATCAGATGATGTTAAAATGTGCCTGTCTTATTTCTTCAAGGAACTTGGTTACAGAGGTGAGATTGGTTACCAGACATTCCTCTACTCAAACGAGCAAGAGATTAGAAGAGTGCTTATGTTTCTGGTTGACAAACTACCCAAGGAGACAGCTGAAGCTGTGGAAGAAGTTCTAGGTAAGACGTCAATGCTTCTACAGATAACTACACCACTGTCACTGTGATAGGTCACAAAATTAATTTAACCAAGCAGTGATATTTTAGGGATTTGTACTCACTTTTTACATATTTCATTTCTGTGACTGTTATATTATTTGCTATTTGTTCTAAAAGTGAAATATATTCAGTACAGGTATATGCTGATCAGTTTCCACACATGAGGTCACAGATCAACAGGACACAGCTAGTTGGTGATAACTGTACCTGAATCGAACTCAGTGTTTTTATGGAATTAATTAATTCAAGTAAAACACTATTGTCATCAGTTATACCTTCTATCTGTTTCACCTGTTATATTATTTTGTGTTTTATAGGGGCATCTGTACTACTACAGAGAACCATAGCGTCTACTCTTGCCCAGCAGCTGAACTCTGTGTGGACCCCACCCTACCTCAAGCAAAACAGTATTACATGGAGGGGAAGTCCTCCACACTGGCAAAGAGAGGTACGGTGGACTAGATTCCTCCCCCACCCATGGATGTTAATGTGTAAAGCCAGGCTAACACTGGCACTGAATGGTATATGTGAATGGATATCTGGGGATTTTATTAGCCTTTGTACAAGCCCACATTTTGTTACGTCCTGATGATGTACATAATGGTAATCAATAATCCCCCTGGGTAGCCTCACATTGGTGAAAGTACATGAAAAACTATGTATGGCAGCACTTTTGAAAGTGAGATCAGCAAATAGAACACTGATTTAGTCAATATTGTTGATTTTGTTAAGATAAATGAGTTATCATTTTTTCTATTGTTGATGTTGTGTAAATGTCTGTTTTAATTTTCAGGGTGCCAGTTCGCTGTGTAAATTTCATGCTTCCCACCTACATATACCACAGGGCATGACCGACCTGAAGAGGAAACTTCCTAAAGGTATATTTTCCCATTTAATATCCTTTCTGTTTCATGCAGTATGATTGATTTACTGAATTTCTGTCACTTGACAACTTGAAATCCTTATTTATTGTTAACAATTGAAGCCATGGCTTTCAGTTGACCTTGCCATTTACCAATTTCAGAAGTCAGATAGACATATCATTTCAAATCAGAGTCAAAGCTCATGTTGGGGAATCAGAAACATACTTTCAAGAGTCCACTGAAAGCCCTGCTAGCTGCTTATCAGCAAATATATCCAGCTATCTTTAGCATATATCTATATTAAGGACTGGTGTTTTAATATAGCATGCATAGACATTGTTCTACATAATAGGAATTGTATCACTTAAGGTATTTTCTGTATATTGACCTTTTTTCTTGTTGAAGAAAGTATTTATATTCAGCTTTCATTACTTATACACAGTCAGAACATAACAATATGCAGTTTTGAAATTCAAAGGTGTATTAAAACACTTACACAGTCAGAACATAACAATATGCAGTTTTCAATTTTGAAAATCCAAAGGTGGAATAAAACCACATTTTTCATTTTTTTTTTATTACTGAGACAAAATGTTTTTATTTAATTTCAGCATTAAGATCGTATTATTCCCAAAGTCTTCCTTATGTAACCAATCAAACTGTTCATCACAATGATACCTCATCTTCTGTCATTGAGAAAATGGCCAGTGAAATCACTGCCCAGCAGGAGTGGGAGAATGAATGGAACCAGGCTGGATTGGCTTCTAGGCTATCTGAACAGGTAGGGTCAGCTTATGTGATTGTGGGGAGCTGGGTTAAAACATTCCTTTACCCATATTCAAGGTCACTTGTGTCAAATGTGATAAAATCTACCAATGTACCCACATAAGAGTGATTTATATGTTCCCTACAGTTTGCTGTCCAAGTATATGTTAACTTGACAAACATTTAAAGTCACTGGGGTCGAATATATTGAAAACGTCAAGACAACTTCTTCTCAAGAACCACAGTGTCTAAAAAGATGGGAGATGGGTCAAAATGTAGCCAATATGTACTGTTCCAGTGTACAATAAATGATGGTGCCAACCTTAGTCTTTCTGTATAGACATTCAGTATTCTTCTGATACCATTGATAATGACATTGTCCGAGAATGTTCTCTCAGTGTGATTTTCTGGCTAGCTCCACACATCACCTCTTGAACAGGGTATTATTGCATATTATCTAATAAACCAGGAGTACAGAGAGAAGAAAAAGAACAAAATACGAAAGCGAGTGATGGACCAGCTACGTCAGGATGTACAGAGGAGCGGAGACTTTGCTGCGTCCAGGAAGGCGCAGGATCTACAGCAGATGATCGACTCCATCAGTAGCAGGGCAGGAAGTAGCACCAAAACTAAAGGCTCGCGTTTTACGCACACAGAACAACTCATATTCGCAAAGGTCAGTTTCAGGGCATGGATGTGCCTTTTATTCAAACTAGTGATGAATGAAAATCAAAATTTGAGAATGTCAATAATTTTTATCTCAATATACTTTTTATCTCAATATAAATGGAGGTTATCGTTATGAAAACAAAATCTACCAGACGTAGGTTTGTTTCATTATCACCTCACAATTTACCTCTCATTGAAGAAATGTATCTCCCAACCTGCAGGTGTCAAAAACGACATCCCTTAGTTGTTCAGAAAAATTGTTGTATTTTGTACACTCTTGCTGTAGTATAGTATATAGCGTCAGATCTGTCAAGCCACCTACATACTATAATATATACTTATCCAATGACTTCTCAGAAGTTTAAAGTACAAGATGCTTCTGAACATAATAATACATTTGTACTTTTGTATATTTTGTAAGGATGAAGAGAAGACTATGTCACAGATGGGAGGAGAGTCTGAAGTAGGGCAAGGTCACTCAGAGGAGGTATGGAATCATATGAATGTGTCCGGGTAACCTTTTAAACTTGTGGTTGATTGTGATTAAACAGTCAATGAGGGGCTAATGAACTTAGAGAGAAGATAAAACAACTTTTACAAAAAAAATATTAATTTAAACAATCGCCATGTAATAATTTAGTTTCATTTTTCATACTGTTTGAATATGTTTGATCTGTGTGAAGTAGGGAATGTTTGAACCAGAGAAGACAGGCTTTAGTTGGAAGGGAAGTAACTCTATTTTGTGTCACCAGGAGATACAGAACCAGCGTGATGCTGAGGTGGAGGGCCTGCGTGAGGAAGTGTCTGGCCTGGTGTCTCGTCTGGAACAGATGGACTTGGAGATGCGCAAATTCACAGCCAGTATCCAGCAGATGGAGGAGGTGGTATCCACTCAGGGCAGCACTAACGCAGAAAAGGAGGAGGCATACACAGTCAAAAAAAGGACACTCGACCTGCTGCCTGACGCCGAGAACAATATAGCGAAACTACAGGTACTGACTCCATGTAGATGTATGATCCTCTACTGTAATACGAGATGTTACAGATAACAAGAAATAGAATACACAATGTATTTTAAAATGGTAAATATGTGCCAATATTATTTTTGACCTTTTTATCTTTGAACAAGACTATAAACTCAACACTGGCTGAAACATAGTGTATCATAAGAAGCAACATGCAGTTTACATGGAAAAATCCAACATTGGACATCAGAAATATCTTAAAAGAGGAGGCGAAAGTATCAGGTTTAATAAAACTATGACTGTATTTGTATACTAACCTAAAGCAGTCTTAAGTATTCGCTTAATGAAAAAGACCTATATATAGTTGGACATGATTAAGTTGATATAGAAAGTATAACTTCCGGTTTGTGAGTTATAATTTGAATACCTTTGAAGATGTTTAAATCTAATACAGTTGAACAGGTAATGATCTACATATTATCATTCTTTATTTACTGATTGTTGTTTTCTTTAAGAGTGTGGTAGACGGTAGTGCCCAGCGACTCGTCACACTCGCCAATCAATGGGAGAAACATCGGGCACCATTAATAGACCAGTACAGGGAACTCAAAGACCTCAGCTCCAAAAAGGAGGTCAGTGACATCTTTAAGACTAGTTCCTACCTCAGTTTCATTTATTTTCTTCCCTTTGCAAGTGATGGGAGCCCACTGGTGTTAGAGAGCCTTTAGTCAGTCCCCATATTTTTATTACTTAAAAATGAAGATGAAAAAGAAACGTCTAAGATATTTATGTTCTTCAGTTCTAATTACAGGGTTAAATTAAAGAAGTCATTAAAACTATAGGAAGAACTAAATTCCTCGATAGGGCAGCAGTTGATCAAGTACTTTGTAAAATGAAAGATAAATACATGAAGGTATGCACAAGTACTTCATTCGAAAGAGTCGGCTAAAACATTGATGGATGTCACAAATACTTATGATCAAACTATGGGAATGTATAAATCAACCCACTACCTTATTGTAACTCGATTCTTGTTTTGCCAGTCTGAAGGAGAGAAGAAACTAGAAGAGATTAAGGCATTCCGTGTAAGAATGAAGGAAGTAGCTGATGATGCGAGGCACAAAGATGAACACTTAAAACAGCTGGTAAAGTCACCCTCTCCGTATCAATATTCAATGAAACGTCGCAATATCCCTAAATGTTTATTGTCTTATTTTGACATCATAATTGGTGTTATTATGTGTTGTACACACAAAATATATATTGGTGTATTCACTACAAATCAATCTAGCTTCACTGCTTTATACATGTTTTGTATTAATCAGGGTCTTTTTTAATTCTGTAGAAATTAACAGTCTTTCCAATATAATTCAAACAGTATACTTGTGAGTATTTTTCATTGTTACTGTGAACTATAGACAGAGTAATTGTGTATTGAAATTTTTATTCAAAGGTGGCCGAGTATGAAAGAATGACAAAGGATGTTAACAGATCAGCATACACACAGCGCATCATGGAAATAGTGTCAAACATCAAAAAACAAAAAGATGGAATCAACACGGTAGGGTGTTTAATAATGAGGTGAAATTCGACTATTTCAACTTTTTGAAAAATAATGAAGGGGAGGGAGGGGGGTAGGGAGGGNAGGATATCATTAAGGGTGTGTAAATAAAATTGTGATATTTCTTTTTATTTTCTACGTAAACATTTATTTTAAACAACTTTGGCCAGAAGATTTTGGATTTAATCAATTTCATCTAGGGTTATGAATTATTTTCAATTTCTATTTTAAAAAGTGAACAACGTCCTGATTGATATTAAAGCAGTGAAAATGTAGTGCCAAAAATTGGGGTCTGTAGTTGTTTTTGTATTTGGTTTTACATAACATTATCTTATAAAGAAACCACCTTGGACATTTACAGGTTTTGATTGACACTCGAGCTGTTCAGAAAGAGATAAACCAGCTGACGGGAAAACTGGACCGAACATTCACAGTCACAGATGAATTAATCTTTAGAGTAAGTTTTACTGTCATTGTATTGTCATTGGATACACAGTAACACACTAGTCATAGACATGGAAGTCTACAGGAAAAAATCAAAGTGTTGTATTATTACAACTGACTCAAAATCACTTCTTCAGCCTGTATGTTTCATTGGAAGTCAAATAACTCAAAGTCACCAGTTGTTGGTACATGTAATTTGGAAGGAATGTCATATTTCACCTGGTACACAAACATCTTGCCCTCATGTCATCTTATCCGTAAGTCATTAAATGAGATGGTAGTTTTACCAGCATCAGCAGTATTTCAAAAATGTCTATCCTAATTCCCTGATAATTTTTTCAAATTTGTTTCGCCTTTCAGAATGCTAAAAAGGATGAAGCAGCTAAGAAGGCCTACAGACACCTGGCAGCTTTACATGAGGTACCAAACATCTGTTATTTATATCATCTATAAACATCTTACACACTCGGTATCCTAATGTAGAATTTACACATGAGGTACCAAACATCTGTTATTTATATCATCTATAAACATCTTACACACTCGGTATCCTAATGTAGAATTTACACATGAGGTAACAAACATCTGTTATTTATATCATCTATAAACATCTTACACACTCGGTATTCTAATGTAGAATTTACACATGAGGTAACAAACATCTGTTATTTATATCATCTATAAACATCTTACACACTCGGTATCCTAATGTAGAATTTACACATGAGGTAACAAACATCTGTTATTTATATCATCTATAAACATCTTACACACTCGGTAATCTAATGTAGAATTTACACATGAGGTAACAAACATCTGTTATTTATATCATCTATAAACATCTTACACACTCGGTATCCTAATGTAGAATTTACACATGAGGTAACAAACATCTGTTATTTATATCATCTATAAACATCTTACACACTCGGTATCCTAATGTAGAATTTACACATGAGGTAACAAACATCTGTTATTTATATCATCTATAAACATCTTACACACTCGGTAATCTAATGTAGAATTTACACATGAGGTAATAAACATCTGTTATTTATATCATCTATAAACATCTTACACACTCGGTATCCTAATGTAGAATTTACACATGAGGTAACAAACATCTGTTATTTATATCATCTATAAACATCTTACACACTCGGTATCCTAATGTAGAATTTACACATGAGGTAACAAACATCTGTTATTTATATCATCTATAAACATCTTACACACTCGGTAATCTAATGTAGAATTTACACATGAGGTAACAAACATCTGTTATTTATATCATCTATAAACATCTTACACACTCGGTATCCTAATGTAGAATTTACACATGAGGTAACAAACATCTGTTATTTATATCATCTATAAACATCTTACACACTCGGTAATCTAATGTAGAATTTACACATGAGGTAACAAACATCTGTTATTTATATCATCTATAAACATCTTACACACTCGGTATCCTAATGTAGAATTTACACATGAGGTAACAAACATCTGTTATTTATATCATCTATAAACATCTTACACACTCGGTAATCTAATGTAGAATTTACACATGAGGTAACAAACATCTGTTATTTATATCATCTATAAACATCTTACACACTCGGTATCCTAATGTAGAATTTACACATGAGGTAACAAACATCTGTTATTTATATCATCTATAAACATCTTACACACTCGGTAATCTAATGTAGAATTTACACATGAGGTAACAAACATCTGTTATTTATATCATCTATAAACATCTTACACACTCGGTATCCTAATGTAGAATTTACACATGAGGTAACAAACATCTGTTATTTATATCATCTATAAACATCTTACACACTCGGTAATCTAATGTAGAATTTACACATGAGGTAACAAACATCTGTTATTTATATCATCTATAAACATCTTACACACTCGGTATCCTAATGTAGAATTTACACATGAGGTAACAAACATCTGTTATTTATATCATCTATAAACATCTTACACACTCGGTAATCTAATGTAGAATTTACACATGAGGTAACAAACATCTGTTATTTATATCATCTATAAACATCTTACACACTCGGTATCCTAATGTAGAATTTACACATGAGGTACCAAACATCTGTTATTTATATCATCTATAAACATCTTACACACTCGGTAATCTAATGTAGAATTTACACATGAGGTACCAAACATCTGTTATTTATATCATCTATAAACATCTTACACACTCGGTATCCTAATGTAGAATTTACACATGAGGTACCAAACATCTGTTATTTATATCATCTATAAACATCTTACACACTCGGTATTCTAATGTAGAATTTACACATGAGGTACCAAACATCTGTTATTTATATCATCTATAAACATCTTACACACTCGGTATTCTAATGTAGAATTTACACATGAGGTACCAAACATCTGTTATTTATATCATCTATAAACATCTTACACACTCGGTATTCTAATGTAGAATTTACACATGAGGTACCAAACATCTGTTATTTATATCATCTATAAACATCTTACACACTCGGTATTCTAATGTAGAATTTATACATGAGGTAACAAACATCTGTTATTTATATCATCTATAAACATCTTACACACTCGGTATTCTAATGTAGAATTTACACATGAGGTAACAAACATCTGTTATTTATATCATCTATAAACATCTTACACACTCGGTATTCTAATGTAGAATTTATACATGAGGTAACAAACATCTGTTATTTATATCATCTATAAACATCTTACACACTCGGTAATCTAATGTAGAAGTAACACATGAGGTAACAAACATCTGTTATTTATATCATCTATAAACATTTTACACACTCGGTGTCCTAATGTAAAATTTATGCATGAGGTAACAAACATCATAAACATCTTACACACTTGGTAATCTAATGTAGAAGTAACACATGAGGTTACAAACATCTTGCCCTCATGGTCATCTAATCCAGAAGTCATTAAATGAGAGGATAGTTTTACCGACATCAACAGTATTTTGTACAGAGCATGAAGTTCTTGCTATTTTACCCGCCTATGACATGTTTCCTTTTGATTTCATCTACATTCATTTAACTTGCTGTACTCATATATCCTGGAAAAGCAGCGTCTCTTTTACAGAATTTGGGTCTTGTGCCCCACTTTATACAGTATTATGTCTCTTTGTAAATTTGGATACTGCAGTTTCTACGCCCCTCCTGTAAACTTTTTGTATGTGACAAGTTCAAAAGTTAAGCTTATAAAAACGCTACAATCAAATTTCAAAGAATTTAGTAGAATGTGTATTTATTGTGGTTTTTGTTATTTACCATTTTGACTTGGTAGGCATCAACAATAGGCGCACAGATAGATATAAATATGAATAAACCTGTGTTGATATTTTTTGTAATTACACCTTCCTGAATTAGAATACCTGGGGGATGACGTCTTCCCCCTCCAATGTATGTTTTCTACTGACTAATATTCTGTAAATATCTACTTTCTTAAATCTATTTTCAGAGTTGTGAACTTCTGATTTCCACGGTGGAAGAAACAGGTGTCATAATGAGGGAGATACGAGAATTGGAAGACCAGGTAAAAACAGGGTTCAGTTCTACATCTATTGAGGGAGATTATAAAGTATATGTAGTGCCAGCAACTAATTCTCTAACTTGAGAATCATTGTTTTCCTTGCTGTTTTTCCTTCACACAATTTTACAGAAGTTAGTTAACAAGAAACCTAATATGAAAGTCAGTTTTGTAATGTTTCATATCCTCATTATTCAAAGTTCTTCATTGACATTGCCTCCAGATGATGTTTCTAACACCTGGTAGGACTCCATGTAATTCTGTCACCATTTTCCTGTTCCTTCATTCAAATGTTGTAATGTACTGTGTGATATTAATGTCAACATGATTTGTTTTTCTTTACAGATTGAAAATGAAAGCAAGAACAAAGTACTTAGTAATTTGGAGAAGATCACATCAGATTACCAGCAAATGAAGAAAGAAAATACAGCATTAATGGCAAAAATGAAACAAAGGTCATGAATTTCAGACCAAATATTTCGTTTAACTGTTATGCCAAATATGAATGCAAGTCATGTGAATTATACAGTGTTTTGTGAAAATGTTCTGTGCTATCTTACTACAGAAGGATACTTGTTAAGAATTTGGATTCACATTGGAAACCAACATTGTGCTGGTTGTATTAAAATTTAATCTTACTTTATATATTATTTGTAAGACATTTATGTATGTGGATGAAACTAGTTGTACAGTAAAGCAAAATTCATGTGCCACAAGATTATACGACACTCTAAAACTGTCACAATAAGTACTGCGTAACTGTCCAGTCAGTCAGTGATCACTTTCAATCCAATGCTTATTTTCTTATCTCTGTCGAGGTTTTTATGTACATGTGTAAACTTTGAAAGAAGGATGCATGATGACGTTTATATAAAATTATCAAATTATTATTTTGTGTTTGTTTCATATTATGTTAACACTATCCAAACATGTGTTGCCTGCATTTGGCTTTATGTTTTTTTAATCATTGTGGACATTGTGCTTGTTCAGGTAATTAATCCATTTATACAATAAACATTTGTTGACTTGCAATTTACTTCAAAACTTGTTTAGTTTTGCCGTTGACTCCGGTGGGAAAAGCTAATGTTATCCAGTTATTTAAGTTTAAAAAACAGTTTGTTTATTTTGTACCAATGTAACTATCATTTTGGTTTGGTTGGCATTGTAACTTGTAAAAGATATGACTGCAGTATCTATAATACATCTGTATCAGATATTTTTCAAAACTGATAAATATGAGGTGCTAAACCACAGTCTGTGACGGTCAACTGCTATCTAGCATTTTAGCCAACCATCATCAGACGGGAGGCTGTTTAAATCGCCTTTCACCTGTGGTTTGTTGTCCGTCTTTAAATAAATCTTGTTGTCTCTATTTCTAAAAGAAGCACCGGATACATCTGTCTTAATTTTTTGAGATTGTTTCAAGGAAAAAAATTGTCAGCAAGGTAGCCATTTTAGATGTTGACATTCAAATGATCTAAAAAATCAATTTTACAATGTGGGCTCTGCCTAGATCCCTCAGGGATCTCTTGTTTTTATATATTTTTTAATGATGCTTTACTGTACTCTTCAGAATTGTCTATGCTCAGTATTAGAAATTAGTACTGTATTTTGCAGAAAATAAAGCTATTCTGAGTACTAGGGTATCATTCCCACCCCTCCTTAGACAGATTTACAGATGATGCTAATGTCCATATCATTAATGAGAGTTTGTGAGACAGATGTCAACAACCGTATTTCCTGTTGTGTGTGTGTGTCTTGCATGTGTAACAGGAAAAATGCATGACTAGATTAGCATTCAAACCCGGGGCCCTCTTTGAATAAAAGTAATGTGTAATGGTAATTAATTACATAGGCAATGCAATTGTAATGGTAATTTATTACATTAAGAAAACCATGTAATGGTAATGGTAATGCTACTTTTCCAATGTAATGTGTAATTTAATTAATTACATTACCAATGTAATTGCCCCATGCCTGCTGAACTCTAGATGGAAGTTCGATCAATTGAGCTACCTGGTCACCATTGATTGACCCAGTCCAGTTCCATTACATATGCCAATATTTTGAGTTGGTGTGTTTATATAGAGCCTTCACAACAGAAAGTTTACAACATTTGTTTAAATTTGACGTAAGCATTACTGATATATTTGTGTACTTTTTCATATTGTTAATATTCACAACAAGATCGTTCCGTCATAGCTTATCATCCTTACAGCTTGTCAGGAAGCTGTACCTAGAATGCCATTTGAGATTATTGTAGTAACCAATTTTATATTTTATTTTAAATTGTAGTAGAATAATTGATTCTTGAGTGAATACAGGAACATTGTAGAATTGTCTTAATGCTGGAATTAGAACCAGATGAAAATTGGTTTGGTGTACAAAAACATCACAGACTTATCTAGATACTGGAATGGTAAGAGATAGCTCCGCAGTTCAACCTTGTTATAACCATCCTGAAAATTAGCTTATAGCTCACTCTAATTGAAACCAATGATTTATTTAGCATGGTGCCAACTAGCATGAAAAAAGTGCTGGCTTTCCTTTCTTTTTTTTACGATAGGCTAATGTCTCTGTTACGACAGGCTAATGTCTCTGTTACGACAGGCTAATGTCTCTGTTACGACAGGCTAATGTCTCTGTTACGACAGGCTAATGTCTCTGTTACGACAGGCTAATGTCTCTGTTACGACAGGCTAATGTCTCTGTTACGACAGGCTAATGTCTCTGTTACGACAGGCTAATGTCTCTGTTACGACAGGCTAATGTCTCTGTTACGACAGGCTAATGTCTCTGTTACGACAGGCTAATGTCTCTGTTACGACAGGCTAATGTCTCTGTTACGACAGGCTAATGTCTCTGTTACGACAGGCTAATGTCTCTGTTACGACAGGCTAATGTCTCTGTCATGCTTGAATGGATGATTTTGAAAAGTTCCACAGCATGATAGAAAATGGTCTTCCAAAATCAAAAATAAATGCACAGCTGCCGTGTTTGTGTCCGAATAAAATTGACAACAGGATCGTATATGTTTGATGTGTAAACTGCACACCTTCAAAACACACTAATACCAGAAGGACATATTTAATGCATATATAAGTCCTTAATGAAAAGCATCAGAATTGTGATGATCAATCTTTAGCTTAGCTGTGGTGGGTGGCTGGAATGTTACGCCCACCTAAATAACACTTTAGGTAATATTCTGTATGAACATTTTACTTTACATTGTCCTTTTTCTCTAAGGATTATGACCTGTCAATAATGTTTGACCATCTAGTTGTGATACATTGGTGCTGTATATATTTTCAAAAAATATGTTTATGGTATAAAACTTCTATACAAATATACTCATGGTATTTCTAAGATTTAAACATGACATATATGTATATTGTTTTTCATAAACTGACATAAAACTATTTTGCTTTAAATTTCGGTTTTTGCTACATTTTGCTAGTGCTGTCACTTTGGGTAGATTTTATTTGGTAACAAAAATATATGTAATTTTATTTATCGCAGTACATTTATTCCATTAATTATTTATTGTTACATTAAAAGATGCTAGTAATACCAAGGGCTGATTACCCACATGCTAGTTGTGTATGTAGATCAAAAGCTGGTGAGATTGATCTTTATTAATGTATTGTAAGAAAGGGTGTTTGAAATACTATAGAGATCACACATGTTTATCATAAAATTTGATCATCATGAGTTGTTCATTTATTACCAAGATTGAATATGTTTAATTATATAAAGCAATTTTAAACAAATAAAACATGCTTAAAATGATGGCAGTGTTATAAATATTTTCTATGAAACCTGTGTAATCTGAATTGGAATAAAACACTTTGTGGAGAGTACACATGTACAGCTGATCCGACTTTAACACAGTAGGACTCCAGTCTACACAGGTTCTGGTTTAGGTATGATTTACACAGACATACTGCTTAGCACTTGTATTTCAGAGCAATTCCATTTTCCACACATATGCAGTCCTATAAATATATATTGAAGATAACCCCACAATGTGTATATTCCATTTTAAAGGGAGATCTAAAGATTTGTGCTATGTATATCAGTAGGTAGTATTGTGTGAACTTAAAACATCTCAAAATTGTTCCAGGAACAAACAAACAAACAAACAAAAAAACAAGTCTGACCTCATAATAATGAAGATCTATATACAGTGCAGTGTACCTGGTAGCCATATTACCGGTAAACAGGTTTCTTCCCTCCAGCTGAACACCAAGTTTTCATACTTGCATGATAACAAATAAGAACATACCAAAAAGGGTCACCCAGGGTATATAGAAATATATAGAAATTGTACTTATGTTACAGTAGCTTTTGAAACCAGACTTATCAGGCTTATATAATATAATCATGGTTGTGATATACAAAATGTAGGTATAAGTGCTCCATTCATGTCCAATAAAGGAATGGAACACATGCAATTTTGGTGGAAGGTGTAAGTCTCTACATTTACATAGTAATGACCACCTTCATATATTTGAAGACCATGTCATGTGATAGTGGGTGCTAGGCCAAGAGAAGAGAAGATAGTGAAAGGGAATATTCATAGAGTATGGGAGTTATATAGCTATAGGTGTGTTTTTTGTTTAGGGACGGTTTGAAGCATGTCTTGTGTGGTGGGATGGAGGTATGAGTTGGTCTTTTCTTATATTGACTTTGTCGTGTATAGTTTTATGCAGTGTTGTCAGTCGCATGACTCTCCTTCTGTCTTCAAGTGATTGCCAGTTAAGGTGTTGAAGCATGTCACCAACACTGGAGGTGTTTCTAAATTCGTTGGTGACTAATCTGGCTGTTCCAGCTGCACCATTTCTATTTTGCTCATGCCTGTTTTAGTATAAGGGTCCCAAACTGAGCAGGCATGTTCGAGGGATGGACTGACAAGTGTTTTATATGCCCGCTCCTTAATAGATGCAGAGCTTATCTTTAGATTTCGTCTGAGAAAGCCTAAGGTGGAGTTGGCTTTCCCACAGATGTTATTTATATGACATTCCCACTTGAGATTTGACTGTATAGTGACACCTTAATATTTTGCCTTGTCTGCGTGTTGTATTGTATATAAAATAGTGTGCCGACTCTGCCATATTTAGGATAGTTAACAAATTAGATCATAAGTGTCATGCATGTTACAAAGGGGACTTGACCATTGATTGATGTGGTCCATGTTACAAAGGGGACTAATGACCATATAGCTGATGTGGTCCATCTTACAAAGGGGACTTGACCATTGATGTGGTCCAATTGTTACAAAGGGGACTTGACCATTGATGTGGTCCTTGTTACAATGGGGACTTGACCATTGATGTGGTCCATGTTACAAAGGGGACTTGACCATCATTGATGTGGTCCTTGTTACAAAGGGGACTTGACCATTGATGTGGTCCATGTTACAAAGGGGACTTGACCATTGATGTGGTCCATGTTACAAAGGGGACTTGACCATTGATGTGGTCCATGTTACAAAGGGGACTTGACCATTGATGTGGTCCATGTTACAAAGGGGACTTGACCATTGATGTGGTCCATGTTACAAAGGGGACTTGACCATTGATGTGGTCCATGTTACAAAGGGGACTTGACCATTGATGTGGTCCATGTTACAAAGGGGACTTGACCATTGATGTGGTCCATGTTACAAAGGGGACTTGACCATTGATGTGGTCCATGTTACAAAGGGGACTTGACCATTGATGTGGTCCATGTTACAAAGGGGACTTGACCATTGATGTGGTCCATGTTACAAAGGGGACTTGACCATTGATGTGGTCCATGTTACAAAGGGGACTTGACCATTGATGTGGTCCATGTTACAAAGGGGACTTGACCATTGATGTGGTCCATGTTGGAGAACATGCTCAGTCAAAAAGGAAAAAAAAAAAGAGATACATTTTAAAAGGCTGTATTACTTCAAGATCAACCCAATCAATTTTTATAAACTAACAGGGGAAAAGGGGGTAAATTTAAAAAAAAAAAAAAAAAAGAGAGAGAAAAGAACAAGAAGGTATTCCTGAATTGCTACCGTTGACAAGAAATAACGACAAAGAAATAAACAGTCCAGTGTTACAGGCCTGATAGGCCTCTTATTTACAAAATTTATGTTTCCGTATGTATTTATATATATGCCCTATCAATTCCATGAGTTCTGGAGGTACAAAAAAATGCTTTTATCATAAAGTTCATTGTCCAACCCATTCAACTAATGCAATATGAAATTTGGGTCAAGATAATAATTAAGAACAGATTAAGTTACTGATCATCATACTATATGTCAATCCGTGTTCAAGTGGCTATTATGGAATTAAAATTGCAATATCATTCAATTGAAATATAATATTTTTTCATGCAACCAGAATAGAATTTAAAAGAAAGAGGCAATGACATTATTATATATAAATAACAGGGACTTGTGCAAGACTTGTTAATGTGGTTCTTGTTGAAAGAAATATTCCATTCCCTTGTTGGACACAATAAAATACATACGTAAAACAATCATTTCAATGTTGTGTAATTTTATCAGATAATTTCTCATTGTCCTTCGTGATTAATAAATTGTTTTCGTTTCGTATCTTCATACGGTCAGAATCCGTATTATTAAGAAATTAATTCACGCTGTACTTCCGGCATGTTCGACTTGCCTTGTCACGGAAGGAGGTCACAGTACTTCGACTCAACATGTTGTTATATCGGTATAAACAAACAATAAACATGTGTTCTTGGATATTTCATGTATTTGTTTTATCGTTTGTGTGATTTCATAGTGATAATGCTGGATAGAAAACATGAAGTCAAACGAAAGTAGAGGGCAATAGGACAAAGAAGTAGAGCATGACGTGAAACGAAAAGGTGAAAGGGCAAGGTCGTTCAATGACTTAACATGTTTATAGGTCAGCAGGCGAGGGAAAGGTGAGGTCGAAGTCCTGTCTGAATTCCTTCCGTAGGGGATAGTTTCTTGAGTGTTACGTGATATGAAACTATTTGTTTATTGATAAGTCAATTCGCGGAGACGATTGTAATGTTTCCATGACAACTGCCTGTGTTGTAACCGTTGAATTTAGCGAGTGATTTGGAGCAGTTGGTAAGTTCACCTTCCGCCATTTTGACATTATTGTCCTTGTTATGTCGGTAGGTCATGTACAGAAGACCATCGTTGTGCTTCTCCTTGTATAACCTGTTGATTGTTGATGAATAATCACCTGTTCGTTGCCCAAAATCTATAACTTCAAGGTCACTGATGGAAATGACAGATTTCACTCCCGACCAGCTGTCCAATGCTTAAGACAACGACGGCACTTTCAAATGTATGACTGCATTTTTTTCGTGTTAACACAGATTGCATAACCGGTTGATGAAAATGTTTCCGGAACAAAGATTTTGTATTACGTTTCTTCTTTTTAAATTCTTGGACATTCAACATCTGTCATCCAAACGTTTACACAAAGAATTTTACCTTGTGTCAAGTTGCCATAAATGTAAAATTAAATAGAAACTGATTAAATTACTGAGTATTAAACATTATCACAGAAATTTGCTATTCAGTCAATTATGAACAACAATAAATTTACTAACAGTGAAATACTACCCCCCACCCCCATTTTTAAAGCATTTAGTCGGCTTAATTTCTTTTGATCATTATTAAAATTATTTATTATTGTTATAATAATACACATCATTTATATAGCACGCTATATATTTTGTAAAATTAATCTAAAGCGCATTACAACATATGGATGATAGTATTAGTTATAATTGTGAAACAAAAACAAAGGCTAGCTTACAATCACTTTTATACATTAAGCAAGCAGATAATCATCACAATATGCACATAAATGAATAAATAAAGGGTGGTAGTGGTATTTGCATGACATCTTTGCAAAGAGATTAAAATGCAGACGTTAATTAAAGGTGAGGTTTAATGATGTCCCTCTTGAATTTAGCCAGGGTATTTGATTTTCTAATAGCAGATGGTAAGCTATTCCACAATGTGGCCGAAACCCTCCCAATGCATCGGTTTCCATAGGTCACAGTACAAGATTATTGGACACACAACAAAGATTCTGACTCCGACTGCAGTAATCGTGTTATTATGTTTGTGGCAAGGGGTCGCTATTTCCGAGTGATGAAGGTGTCTGACGGTCAACTTCACTAGCCCTTCACCGCTGGGTTGCAGGCCTATATGGGGCAGTCACCTGGTACTCAGTCGCTGATTGGTGGTTTTTCTCAAGGCACTCCACCACCAAAACCTGGCAAGTCCTTAAATGACCAAAGCTGTTAATAGGACGTTAAACACAAACAAGCCAAACCTGGCAAGGCCTTAAATGACCATATCTGTTAATAGGACGTAAAACACAAACAAACCAATCCTGGCAAGTCCTTAAATGACAAAAGCTGTTAATAGGACGTTAAACCCAAACAAGCCAAACCTGGCACGTCATTAAATGACCATAGCTGTTAATATGACCTAAAACACAAACAAACCAAACCCGGCACGTCCTTAAATGGCCATAGCTTTTAATAGGACATAAAACACAAACAAGCCAAACCTGGCAAGTCCTTAAATGTCCATATCTGTTAATAGGACGTAAAACACAAACAAACCAAACCTGGCACGTCCTTAAATGGCCATAGCTGTTAATAGGACATAAAACACAAAACAGCCAAACCTGGCACGTCCTTAAATGGCCATAGCTGTTAATAGGACGTAAAACACAAACAAACCAAACCTGGCAAGTCCTTAAATGACCTTTGTACATCCTCTTAACTGTGCTAGTACGAAGTTAATGGAGCCATGTAACATTTTAATCAGATTGTATATCATTTTTCTTTCAATAGATCTGAAAATATTATCATTTTAATTTTACTTATTGTATAGATCTTCATGTGTAGTGTTGTTTAATTAAACCATTCAATAAATCAATGTATTGTAAGTGGTTTGAAGTACTGTCTGACCTGACATTCTAATATCATTTTATACATCTGCTATCCGACTGCCTACATGTATAATAACTCATGATTGAATTTTCATGATTATCATTTTGGCATGACTGGTATTAATAATATAGAATTCCATACCCTGTATAAATAAACACCTAATTCATATCTTTAAATCAGGCCTAAAACCCTATAGGGGGCTGTTGGGATAAGTCAGTAGAGGTCACAGTGATTTTTTACCCCATATTTAGTGCCGACTTTAGGTACTTTCCCCAAGTGAAGTTTTCCCAATTCTGGCCCAAAATTTTCCCAATTGCTTGCTAAGAAAAACCCAGTAAGGGTTTGGGAGTGAGTGGCAGGGCCATACTAAAGTGGTCAAAGAGTACAAACCTTCAAGACTTAAGAGACATCTTCTCTGAAAATCTGTTGGATTTTGACCAGCATGTTGAAAACTTGTTTTTACATGATAAAGATTAGAACCTATACTCAATAATTTCAGGGTCTGAGCCAAGGGGACAAGTTGGGGATTTAGAGTCACAAAGCAAAGAAAGAACTTGCATCCCAGCTGACACAGCAATGCGGAGAGGGACTGTCCCTGTTTGCCTTGCCCTGGGGACTATCGGGGTTTTCCCTTTTCCGATTCCAATTATCTATTACCAATTACATAATTGATATAATCGGTTCTTTACGGAACTCAAGCGTCTAATGTTTGTAGAGTATGTATTGACAGATGTCATCTACCTTGACTTATGTAAAGCCTTTGATAAGGTCTCGCACAGGCTGCTTCTACACAAACTAGAAGCATATGGCATTACAGGTAAAGTCAGCAACTGGACACGGAAATACCTGACAAATCTGAAACAAAGAGTTGTTATCAATGGAACCTTATCGAGAGTACAGAATGTGACAAGCGGGGTCCCCCAGGGAAGTGTTATCGAGCCGATTTTGTTTCTCATTTATGTTAATGATATGCCAGAATCAGTTAACTGTATAATGAAGCTATTTGCAAATGATACAAAAATATACTCAAGTATATCTACACCACAGGATAGGTTAGAGCTACAAATTAACATCAACAAAGTGTGTGAATGGACTGAGAGGTGGCTCATGAAATTAAATTTAGAGAAATGCAAACACTTGGAAATTGGTAATACATCCAGCAATAGCCAGTACAACTTCAGAAACGAAGGAGTCACAACCATGATTGTAAAAACAGACAGGGAGAGAGACCTCAGGGTGACATTTGACAAACAACTCAAATTTAGTGAACATGTGTCTGCAGCTGTCTTCAAAGGAAACAGGATGTTAGGAATTATTTTTAGAACATTTACATTTCTAAATCAATCAACATTCCTTTAATTATATAAATCACTTGTCAGACCTCATATTGAATACTTCCCCACAATATGGTCACCCCTCCTAAAGAACGACATACAATCACTGGAAAACATACAACGACGGGCAACTAAAAAGTTAATTGCATTGCAAGACTTACCTTACCCAGATCGACTAAAACGACTAGGACTTCCAACACTTGAATATAGAAGACTACGGGCTGATATGATTCAAGTGTACAAAATTCTGAGTGGTGTGGACGATGCAGACAAGTCTAAATTATTTACAGAATCCACCTATCCGGCAACTAGAGGTCACCAGCTAAAGCTCTTTACGAAATAATGCCGCTTAAACACCACCAAGAACATTTTCAGCAATCGTGTAGTCACAAATTGGAACAATTTATCAGCTGAAGTGGTTACTGCCAAAAGTTTGAATATTTTTAAAAATAGGTTAAACGTGCACTGGAAAGATCATGCACACAAATTGTATCCGTCCTTTTAATCTACGATGTGTAAATATTAATTAATACTATTGCGACAATTAGACTTCACCAGACGTCTAGATACATTTAATTTCATACAATGTATGCCATTCTTTGTGCACTCCATCATCAACCAATCAATTAACGAAATGCAGGTTAATAACATCACTACAAGCCACAGGCTTTCTGTTGATGTCTTACCTATGAGATACCTATGGTCCATTGATGTCTTACCTATGAGATACCTATGAGAGTAGATGATAAGGGTATTCAGTCCTCTAAAGTTAAGTGATTGGCCATCACTAATTAACATACCAATGGGGATCTAACCAAATTTGCTATGAAGCCTGCATCCTTGGTCTTTTGGACCTGCAATTAATTGTTAAAAGAAGAGTATAGCTTTCCAAAGGGGCTGGGTCCAAAATGGGAGGTCTTTGCATTTAAGGTTTGAAAAAGCCTACTCTTGAAAAATAATGATCTTGTTTTGAACAACCAAATTTGCTTCAAAACATCCGAGGGACCAGGTAATAAAATGTGATAAAGGATTGATGTTCTCTTTCTGCATGCTGAGAGATTTAGACAGAGCCCAAAGACAGGGATATGTTTGAATTTATACTTAGTTTTAATGAGAATGTTTTGCCATGAATGCTTCAATATCTAGGTGAGCAACCACAGCCCCTATGAGCTTCTCTTTATGAAAATAGATTTGTTTTGAAAACGATGTATTTTTCGATTTTTTTGGAAAATACAATAGTGTGTACATGTTAAGACAGATTATTAGCTCACCTGCCCAAAGGACAACTGATTTAATCTGCCTTGGCCTGCAGTTGGCCATCATCTTTTGTGTCTATTATCAACATTTCCTTCTAAACACTATTTGTTCAGAACAGCTTCGTGGAAGCTTGAATATTAAGAACACCAGATTATTTAATTGTATTTATTGAGGTCACTTTTTATGCTTTACAGACTCTATTGCTTTTGAAATTATATCATATATTAATATTTATTTCAAAAGAAAAAAGAAAATTTTGGCATTTTATCTGTTTGGCCGTTTTATAGTTTTGATAATATATTTTTTTCCTTTTTTTTTCAGGAGGTCACAGAGAAATATTAAACCATGGTGAACAAAACAAAGGTGGCCAGAATGAAGGAAAGGGAGAAAATTGCTGCCATGCTTAAGACGGCTGTTCTGAGTCTCTGCCAGGAAAAGTACAAGAATCCAATTGAAGTCGATGCTTTAATTTGTGTAGCTCTGACCCCTACTGACAATCATGTGGTGAAAATTCATGAAACTCTTGGGTTTTTTGGAAATAAAAACTCAGGAGCAGTGACGACACAGGATACAAATGGTGACCAAAACATTTGCAAGGTATCAAACATCTGGTCCATGGGCCCAAAATCAAAACGAAAAAGGAAAGTCACAAATGAAGATATGCTGATGAATACCCCGGCTGGAGGCGATATGACAGCATGGCAGGCGGAGAACATTTCTAAAAACTTGTCAGAGGCTAGAACTGATGTCTCGGGTTTAGAAGCACTGAAAAATGACACACCAGTAAAGAAATATCCTTACCTAGTGCAGACTTTGTGTGGTGAGGATAACATGTATCTAAGCAGTGTCGGTAAGGATGTATTGAGGAAGGGGGATGGGGAGAATTCTGTAGCACCCACACAACCAAAGGAACCAGCTTCTGTAGCATCCATTTTATCGGGATTGATGATCCCAATGAGTACAGCTTCGACACCTCTCAAGCCCATACCAGCAGCAGAAAGTCCAAACATCCAAGTTGCTGAGACCAGCATTCGTCGAAAAAGAAAGCTGGATCGCGGTGAGATCAGAAGAGCATCTCCAGTGACTCAAGATAATGAAGATGATGAATCTCAAGATTATACCTCAATTAAGGAGCAGAGGGACGATGGTCTGTACAACCAGAACGTTTCAGATAAGGAGCATGACTCTAGTGCAAACAATGATGAAAGCAACAGTAATCAAACAATGAGTGATCAGACATTACCAGGTGGTATAGTGATCAAAGAGGAACCGATATGGAGCACTACAGAAGATACAGAATCAAAATGGCCCACGGAAAATGAGGAAAACAGCAGTGAGGTTGATAATAGTCAAACTTCCAGCACATGTAATACTCCAACACAGTTTTTCCAGTCACAACCAGAAAACTCTGATGATCCAATGGAAATGTCTGTTACTTCGGTAAAGGAAGAACCACAGGATTCTGATATTGGTGAACCAGAAATGGAGATTGATACCGATATTGATTCATCACAGTTTGACTTCAATAGAAATTCTGATTCAGGCTCAATTTCAGAAACAACAAAAAACTCTATTCTTTTGAAAATTCTCAAAGGAAAAAGTTTAGCTGAAGCTTACAAGAGTAGTATTCCAAAAGACAGGTTTGGTAGTGAAAGTAAAGAAGGAACTTCCATGTCTAACTGTCAGCCAAATACAGGAGAGGATCAGGATAACTCCCTGGTCTACAGACTTCCATTTGTATCATTCCAAGATTTATTTCCAGGAGAAGTTTCTGGTGAGAAAAGCCAGGAAAGAGACAATGTTGCAGTAACCAGTCCGCTCGAAACGTCCATGAGAGTTGGAGCTGCCCTCACACCAACAGAACATGCCAATCGCAAGTTTGAATTGCTCACAAGATCATTATTGGAAAAGAGGAATAGGGCTAAGGGACCGTATTCAACAAGATTGTCATCTGGAAGAAAAAATCCAGTCAACTACACTGAAATGGCAGATGTAGGGTCAGATTTTGATGTGAGCGACGGCTCAGGGTCTCCTAGAAGTGAGCTAGATGATTCATACTCTCCAAGATTGCAAGGAATGCTTGAAGACGATGAGGAAAAGAGTAGACGACCAAGAAAGAAAGGATTTGGTCGTTCTGGTTCAGAGTTATTTGCATACAAACAAAAGACTTATGTAAAAGATACCATGGAATCAGATATGGCCTTAAAATCTGAAATGGCAAAGGAGCCAAGATCAACATCATCAATGACATGTCCACCGAAGAAGCAGTCCTCATCATCAAATCTTCTGTTGTTTGCTTGTAGTATTTGTGGTAGTGAATTCTCGTCTCGTGCTGAACGTGATCGCCACGAGGAGGAGGAGCAGTACAGCGAGTTTGTGAAATGTCCACTGTGTAATGGCTATTTTGGAGATGAAATGTCCAAAAGAAAGCACATGCGAGAACGCCATAAGGTGTGTGAGAAAGAACTGAATTCAAAAACTGGTGGTTCAGGGTCCAGTGGGGAACTCCGGGCCCTCGAGGTCCCAAAATTCTCTGAAGGGATGCTGACATACCACACAACACAGTGTCCAATGTGTTATAATTTCTTCTACAGTGAAGCAGAGAGAGATGAACATCTGAACAAGGAACATAATGTGACACCAGTCACACAATGATAGCGTATAGTGACCACAAATCGTGTGACCACAGTCACAATTATAGTGGTCAACAGATAATGTGACCACAGTCACACAATAATAGCATATAGTGACCACAAATCGTGTGACCACAGTCACAATTATATTGGACAACAGATAATGTGACCACAGTCATACAATAATAGCGTATAGTGACCACAGATATTGTGACCACAGTCAAAATGAATTAATAGTGGACTACAGATAATGTGACACCAGTCTCACAATAAGAGCGTATAGTGACCACAAATCGTGTGACCACAGTCACAATGAATGAATAGTGGACAAGAGATAATGTGACCACAGGCACACAATAATAGCATATAGTGACCACAAATCGTGTGACCACAGTCACAATGAATGAATAGTGGACAAGAGATAATGTGACCACAGGCACACAATAATAGCATATAGTGACCACAAATCGTGTGACCACAGTCACAATTATATTGGACAACAGATAATGTGACCACAGTCATACAATAATAGCGTATAGTGACAACAGATATTGTGACCACAGTCACAATGAATTAATAGGGGACAACAGATAATGTGACCACAGTCACAATGAATTAATAGTGGACTACAGATAATGTGACCACAGTCACACAATAACAGTGGACTACAGTAATTATGTTATGATGGATCATACATTTTGTGACAGTCTTAGCACTTGGTGGACCGCAGCCAATGTGACACCAGTAAAACAGTTTTAGTGGACCAGTGACAAAGTAATCGTCACAAATGGTACCTATTACGAATCTAACAGTGTAGGTTGTTCATCTTGCATGAATTTTACAAATTCAAGCTGTGCAAATACAAGTCCTCTTCTTTCATGAATTTAATAACTTTCACATTAGAGTTCACAACACAAGAAACTGGAAACAATTTATCAGAGAGACAAAATTTAACCCTTTTCTTTAAATGTAACAAATGAAATATTATATTTCAGCTGAAAAGCTATAGGTTTTCTGGACATTCTATACCACAATACAGATAATGTTGATGTTTCATTATTATCAACAACATGATTCCTATTTCTGATTGGGGAAGTGATTGCCATGAATTATGCTTCATCATGGAAGATGTCATTGCAAAGTATTGTAATATTAGGTTATTATTATAAGATTGGCCAATAGAATCATGTTCCAGGTGTTATCTATTAGTGGACCAACAAAAATGTTTTTGCAAGTTTTCCAATGAGTAATAAGTAAAAATACTGTTATCAGAATCTGATACTGTTCTGTATAGATCTCTTCTAATTTATGAAATACAACTGACGTGTTTTATTTGCCATATGAAAAAAAATATTATCCTCTCATGATCAGATTAATGTTGTAGAGGGGATAGCATCTGTTGTGTACATACATTTGGTGATTTTCTATTATTCATTTGAATTTAATTCTTAATATTATTTATCAATGATTGACTTTTGTTGAGGTGAATACCATATAACTGGTTACGCTGGCTTAACTTTTTCGCGATTTCAAGTTAAAATTTCTGTTTAACTCGCATTATAAGTTCACTATTTACACTTGTTTGTAGACGTGTGGAGTATATTTTCACGGATTCTGTCTCCGATCCAATGTTGACTGTCCTGTTGAATTGTTTTGCCGTCGTTACCTGTCTGACAGACTCGTTAAGGACCCATAGCACATGTTCAACTAGAGTTCTTGTAGGCAGTCGTTCCAAGGGGTCGAAGCCTCAACAACACTATTAGATGTGTGATATAATCTATTTTTAAACATCTTGCTAAATACCCATCTATACGAATCAACAAACCATGTGTTTTTATGACGACATTGCAGTTATGAAAATTATAATTGTATGTCATATTATTCTGTGGATCATATTTTGGGGTCACTTTAATGACCGGCCAAATTGTAAAAATATCATCCATACGGAAATATCCTGCAAAATGGTATAGATGTCATGACATCACAAAACTTTGCATTATCATATTTAATATTGGGGGAAAAAATGAGTCATATAATACTGATACCTGGTACCAATGAATAATAATTATATTTTGTATATAAAGTGAATATATGTGGTAGTTACTGTACAGTAGTGTGTAATGGAGAATGTACATGCTACCATGATAATGGATCTGTATAAGTTGTACGATGAAGCTAAGAATATGTAAATATTATTAAGAATGTGTATATTTCGAAAGTATAACAGGATAGGAAAAATGCACGGCCAGAACGGGGTTTGAACCCGGGACCTTCCGAACTCTGGACAGATGCTCTACCAATTAAGCTACCTGGTCGCCGACCTTCAGACTAGTCCAGTTCCACTACAAAAGTTAATAGTCCACTAAATGATAGGACTTTTGGAGATTGGACACCTAAGGTTTTTAGCCCACCATCATCTGATTTAAATCGCCCTGCGTCCGTAGTTCGTTGTCCTTCGTCCGTCCTTAAACAATTCTTGTTATCGGTATTTCTCAAGAAGTACCAGAGGGATCTTTCTCAAATTTTATATGTAGGATCCCCTTGGTCCTTAGCTGTGCAGGGCAACTTTTGAGACTGACCGGATAACCAACATGGCCGACAGGCAGCCATCTTGGATTTTGATAGTGAAAGTTTGTTATCGCTATTTCTCTGGAAGTATCAAAGGGTTCTTTTTCAAATTTGATATGTTGGTTTCCCTTGGACCTGAGCTGTGCAGGGCAGTTTTTGAAACTGATCGGATAAACAACATGGCCAACAGGCAGCCATTTTGGATTTCGATAGTGAAAGTTTGTTATCGCTATTTATCAGGAAAAACCAGAGGGATCTTTCTCAAATTTTATATGTAGGTTCCCCTTGGTCATTAGCTGTGCAGGGCAACTTTTGAGACTGATCGGATAAACAACATGGCCGACAGGCAGCCCTCTTGGATTTTGATAGTGAAGGTTTGTTACCCCTATTTCTCCGGAAGTACTAAAGGGATCTTTCTTAAATTTTATATGTAGGTTCCCCTTGGTCCTTAGCTGTGCAGCAGTGCCTGAAATGGACGGTCTCCCGCTTGCCAATGGCGATTCAAGTCTTGCTCGGACGACCAAAAGTTGTCAAAGTGAGGTAGTCACTGGCCCAACAACAATAGTCTGGGTTACTGTTGAAAAATTTATGAATAAAAGAAATTATAGTTCCTTCCACATTAACTGGGGGGAAGTACATATTTCAGTTGTCATTACTTCGATATGTTAAATGTAATTTAAATGTGCTGAAGCATTGTGTTAAATGCTGTGGAAATATTTCTTCCCAAATTTATTTGGGCCACCAATATGTCATTTGGGCCAGTGCTTCAAATTTTTTACTCGCCCAAAAAATATATTTTGAGCCAGCCAATGCTTGTTCCCCACTATCCTTTATTGTCCATGTTTACTTTTGAAACTGATCAGTTAAACAAAATGGCCTACCGACAGCCATCTTCGATTTTTTGACGTTTGTTAGTACTATTCCTCAGGAATAACTTGAGGGATCTTTCTCAAATTTGATATGTAGGTTCCCCTTGACCCCTCGTTGTGCATGTTATATTTGGAGACTGATCATAAAAACAAAATGGCTAAAGGAGGAACTAAACAGATCTTTCTCATATTGCAATGATCGATCCTATTTCTTTCACATTAAGTACTGTACTAGTAAATATGTGAATTGACAAACTCACTTTGAAGGTTGGCTTTCATACACATCAGTATAAAGTTTAGATCAAAAGTTACCTCAAGGTGCATTTACTGTTAACATGACTCGATCAAACAGATTAGAGGAAAGAAGAGAAAAGATTGAACTGACAAAGAACTAATGAAGATGGTACAATGGTGGGTGTCAAGATCCCTCTGGTATCTCTTGTTTCCTTTTACTTAACATGAATGGCGATTTACTGAAAAGTGTGCAGCAAAGATTTTCCTGTATACTTTACCTTTCTGGTATCATAGCGAAATACATAATTTCATTGGTCAATATTGACAGACGAGGCATGTACCTGTGTTGATGCGAGAGTTATAGTACATAGTATAAATGTTAATTTAAAGTTATTTTTCTAATATTTTCATTCACAATTTCTGCAAAGCAGAATTATTCATTGGATAGATAATTGGTTACCAGGGCCACTTTCGGGGAAATCCAGACTTGGAATAGCTTGCCCAGAAAATAGGGGCCAAAATGTTAAGGAGGCAGGGTGTTCTAGTGGTAGGACGCTGGGCTCGTGACTGAAGGGTTGCATGTTCGAGTCACGGCAACGGCACTGTTGTATCTTTGAGCAAGATACTTTACTCTGCTTGTTCCAGTCTACTCAGCTGTAAGTGAGTATGTGGTTGGGCAGCGCTAGAATTGTTGAATGTTAGCTGTTAAAAAGCACCAAAATGGCAGCACTGGCTGTATGCTCCCCAGGGAGTTGAGAAAGATATTGGCTGGGTGCAAAGGCCCTATAACCACGGATAATAATTTGTGAACCGATTTGAGACGACCTACGAACTGGGTTGTGATAAAGCGGTATATAAGAACCTCAAATTATTATTATTAATTATAATCTCTTAGTCAAATACATTAATATTGACACATGGCCTGCTGCAACCAGTTGTGTTTGAAATTTGAATACATATTTATATCTATTACTTGATTCTACAAATTTTATGGGGTGTTTAAATTTTGAATAATCTATTTTTAATATGTGTAAATATTTGTTGGTTGGCTTTAAAGTTTCATTATTTTGCAAAGATAAAATGAAATGTGATTTATTGTTCAAACTTATTAAGAAATTTTGCTGTAACTACCTGTACCTTGTTCAGCCTTGTTTGTGAGATTTCTGTCAACAGCAAGTAATGCAGATTTAATGTAAATGCAGCATTTAATTTGATATACAAAATGTAGTTAAAAAGTCACAGATAATCCTAGAAGTCACAACTGAAGGTTTTAGATCAAAATGTTTCCTTCTTGAGGCCTATCAATGCCATGGCAACCAAACATTGTGTTTGGGAATGTAAACAAACTAAATATTTTCAGATTTCACAGTTTAAATAAGCTTTGCAGTATGTAAAATGATTTTCATTAACACTAAAGGCTGTTGTTAGGAAATAATTATTTTACAAGGGAGAAAACAGTAAAACAATGGATGGAATTTTTTCAAACTTGGTCAGAATCATCCTTGGTAGATGAGGCTACAAAATTGTAAAGTTGGGATTCCTACCCCGACCCCTGGGGGTAATTGTAATTGTAAATTTCAGTACCCCCGTGCTATCCGTTCTCCCTTGGGGAGGGGTAAAATTTACCATAGTTTATATAGGGAAACAACACTTTTGGGTATATTTTGACAATTTTCTGTAGGTAATTTTTCTTACTTGGTGAGAATTATCCTTGGAGAAAGATGGTTTCAAAATGTAAAATTGGGATTCCTGCCCCATCCCCAGGGGCTAGGACGGGGCCCCAAAGGGAACATTTAACAATATTTTAAAATTCTTATTCTTTGATGACATGACAAGTATTGTATTTCACTTAGTTTACATGCTGATTTCCACATCACATCGAAACAATAAAATAAAGCTGCCAGTACCTATGATATAACTCAGGTGCCCTTGGGCCTCTTGTCTTAGATCCACTTAAAAGTGGGAATATTGTTTCAAATTCAGAAAATCAATGTTACCAATAGATCATCGTTTGTTTGTATTTATTCTCTGGAAATATTCTCAGGCATACAATTTTTTTCCTCTGTATTTTCTTCCTTGTAAAGTTCAATTAAGGACCTGAATATTTCATTGTAAGCCTAATCTAAATGTATGTATTTCTCTTTGAATAACACAGTTTTTGTCTATTTTTGGTCTAAAAAGTTGGTAGTAAAATGTAGTGTACCAGTGAACAATAGTTAGATGTGTACATGTTTTATTTCTCACTGCTTTATGTACACATTGTAATCCAGTGGAGTTGTGAATGTAAGCTTTCAACCACACACTTGTGTTTGTTGATAGACATGAATGGATATATCTTGTAAAAAAATATTAATTATTTGGTGATTGAACAAATATCTTTGAAGGTATGAATGAATTTGAATAAAACTATAGCAACAACAAAAACAAACTATAGCAACAACAAAAACAAACTATAGCAACAACAAAAACAAACTATAGCAACAACAAAACGGTGCAAATGAAGCTTACACCAGATTTAACAATGGCAGTTACAACACATGTCAGATTTAACAATGGCAGTTACAACACATGTCAAATGAAGCTTACACATGATTTAACAATGG